CCAGGGAAACTTCGAATTTAGATGCTAGTCCTACCGAACAATGGCAACAGAGTAACTGGTTAAATTGTGGGGTCCGAATTGATTTTTGTACTGAAGAAACGTATGTAAACTGTAAGTAAACTACTGTATTGTGTCCTTCTCTTACTAATTTCCTCTTCTTGTTAGACCTTCAGATATTTTGACTTGAGAACTAACTTTTTCTCACATATGCCATGGTTTAACGGTCGTATGGGCTTGACCTAACCGTATATGTTATTGGTAGAGTCCAACTTGTTTTCAGATGATGTATTTATAATAAATGAACCTGAAAAGCAAGCAAGGCCGGGAATTGAAATGCTTTTGTAATAGTTCAGGATATTTTGGGAATTCCCTCGCAAAGATAGTACCGAGTACGAAATTCTGTCATTCATTGACAGTATCTAGCTATCGACTTATTTTCACAAAGCAGTCATCCTACCTGTTCCGATTGATTGTTACTAGCTTTGTTACTTTGTCTAATATCCATCAAATGAGAATCGAATTAGTGGTAGGGGTAGCGATATGGAAAGAAATTATAAATAAAGGTAAGGACTGTGGGAAGAAAGCAAAATAAGCGTAAAATTCGCAGTAGCAGTCAAGGAACAAGTGGATAGAAAAAGACTGATGTAAAAGTTGACAAAGTTGTGCGAGATGATAGAAAATTTAAGAACAAAGACTAGTGAGGTTATTCAGGCTTTATAAAACATCAAGAAGTGAATATATCTGCACCATTGGGACCAATTTTCTGCCATTCCACAAAGAGCCCCCAACCATTGATTCTTTCCGTCTCGGAGACCCCAGCCAGGTATTCTACACCTCCCTACATGACTAAGACCAGCAGTTAGGAATTTTATGCACTGGTGCCACCTCTGAATATGGCCACCCTAACCCTTCTTCGAACCTAATCCAGCTTCTGCTAGCATTACACGTCGAGGTGGGTGATGGATCAGGATACGCAACATATCCAAGCTACCTCAGTCTTTAAAGGTTCAAAACCTCATCAATCGACTTGACTACCTCGCCTAGTACCCTTCACCTAACCTTGACATTCCCTACACGGTGGCCCCACCATACTTGAGCAGTGCTCCGTCGACACCCATGCATAAAAATCTAGTCTCTTCAGATCTACTTTTTTTCGGACGTATCTAGCAGCTCCATAACAGGAAAGAATGGAATGCAGCACAGCATACTCTCCCTTCAACAAATGGTCAGATATTTCATCGGCGCCAGCAGAGACGCAAGTTAGAAAATGCTGAGTGGGCCTTCTGTATCCGAGATGAGATTTCATCAGCAACTGTCCCATTTAAGGTGATGCAACTCCCCAAGGAGATGAACTGATGGAGACATTCAGCCACTTTACTCCCTATCCTCCTTGAATCCGTACTATTTGTTCTCATATCCCAACTAAGCACACATGAGATTCACTACTATCTGTTTTCTGTGACCAGTAAGGCGCAGATATACGATCCTGAACTAGCTCGTGTTCGTAGTCCAAACAGGTTCTCCAGAAAAAATGGCAATCCTCCAACGATACGTTATAGCAATGTGATCTATCTGCATCCGTCTTGGGTTTGAAGTCGTTGGACGCAGTGTGAGACAGTCTCTCCTTATGCATTAAGTTAGTGCTGGCCAGAAGCAAATGGTTGTCGGACAAAGTTGCAACAAACGATCTCCGTTGTCCGTTCATTGGCATAGAGTTCCGTAAATATCCCCATGATGCCTCTCAGATTGGTTCAGCTTTCCTACTTCAGCGTTATAGTCACTTGCCACTATGACTACATCTGGACGGTTCGCTTCCTGCAGCAGAATCAGCCCATAGAATTCATTTTTTGCATCACCCGAACTAGTCGGTGGGTGCTTAAGTGGAGATTACGAATAGGCATACGTTGATCTCACGTTCGTTTCTAGTTCTTAAAAATCAATTCAGTCGAATAGCACATAGACGGCTGTTGACTAGTATCCAGTCGAGAAGTGAACTTTCTGTTCTATAGCTCAATGGTATCCCTACACCAGCGAGTCCACAAGGGCTAGCTACCTAGGTCTGCGGATACTTATGTGATTTTTGAAGTTTCACCACTGACCATTTGAGGTCAGTTGGATAAAAACATTTGGGTCCTGTATACATGTCTCGGAGATACAGCATGCATCTATGACTCGAGATTCCAGAGTTCTGGCGAGCGATGCTTGCTGTCCGATTTGGCGGACTTTGGACGTTGAAAGCTCCAACATGAAATCGATGGTGGGTCCTTAAGAGACTAAGAATAAGGTTTTGATGGCTTTAATTTTTGTTATTGGTCACAAAGTGGGAGATTAAACACTTAATATTAGTACCAGGAAGTGAGACCGAAGAGGGAGGTAGAGTTGAGGCGGATAAGTTATGTTTGGTTGTGTCTTGTGTATAACTGGAAGCGTGTAGGTGGTTGACACTTTCCTGCTGCCCACACCGTGGAAGGCTATTTCTTCTCAAGGTATTTTAACGGGAAAAAGACCTATGTAAACTGTAAGTCCATAGGATATTTGCTTGAGGCCTATTACGCACAGTCTTTTGTGGGTTGTTATTTCGAAGTTTTGTTGTTCTTATTCTGCATAGAGAGAACTCATACTTCCGGCACCGGAGGACTGTGTGGCAGGGGGGAGTATACTACTTTCGGGGCTGACCTTTTCTAACCCTCTTTCCCATGAAGGTGGCATCAACGTGACACTGCTGGTCATCCAAGGGAAACATTTTACTGCCGTCACACCCCATCCAGCTAGCAGTGGTGCTACTTCGCCCTCGAACACCCATCATAGTGTAGCAGTTTACACTAACTGGTTTCCATCTTACCACAAAGAGACGTTTTTGGCATGGTAGGATCTCAAGGGAACAAGCGTTATAGGTAGTGTAGCTCATTGGGTCATTTTGATATATAAGCCGGACCACCACAAAAAGGTAGGAGCCGTCGGGCGGTCCATAGATCCTGAAATTTACTGTAATCTATAAAGTGTTCATGGTATCCCCGCATTTCTCTTTGTTCACAGTGATTATGTGTTAATGTTTTTATAGCCTAGGGATAACTGACTCATCGTTTTTTCTGAGTTAACTCAAAATGTCACCATGTTTTTAAGTCAAGATGTCATTGGCATTACCTACTATTCATGTATTTGTAGCGGTACTCGGATAGTTTTTTCATCCCACTCATCATAGGTAACAAATCTATCTTCACGCAGATGTTATCAAAATCATTTTGTGTCCATTTTACTAATTTTAATACAACAATTCTATATCTTAGGCTGCGAAATGATGCTTCTAAACGCCATATCAAGGTTAACATGCGGGAAATCGACTTATTGGTCTGGATTTGTAAGTGATTTCACTTCCATGTTTTGAGTCATCGACGTACAAAGCACGTACCGACTTATGAAAATTGATCACCAGCTTAGTGCCGTCAGCACAGTCTATGTGCTATCACAGAACTAAAAACGAGTAGGCCACCATAGGACTTTTAATGAAGCATGTTTTCACTATTCACAACTGTGTAAAAAGAGTTAGCGAGCAGTGAAATAATGGCATTGTAGTAAACAGAAAAGGAAACGAATAAATGAAAGTTAGTAAAGGTATCGAAATCTTCGGAATATTCAGAATATTCGGAATCTTCGAAATATTCAGTGGTTGAAGCTACTTCGGTGAGATAAGTTTTCAGCCGTATTAGCAAAAGTCTACACACTTTGACTCGTAATATCTCGACGACCTCAATCACATGGTCTACACTGCTTAAACTAGTAATCAAGTGACTCCATGAATTAATGTTATAGCTTCACCTTTTGAATTGATCTGAATACCTTTAATTTTTCCTACTTTGATCTTACTTCAACATCTTTCGAAATAGAAACATTTGTGATCAGACTTGTTGTCTTTTGATGTTCCTTACTTTGAAAAGCCATTTTTCATAGTGATAGACAAAGACGAAGCATACTGTTGTGTACTTCAGTGCCCTTCTGAAGTGAAGTTAAATGTATTACAATGTTTATTAACGGTCCAAGTTTGGAAAGGCTAGCCAAACTCTTTCCTATTTGTCCCAAAATTTCATGAACAACCAACTGATTAGAAACAATACAATTTTTTGGATAAGTGAGCCGATCAATACGCTCAATCAACTTTTCTCCTATTCTTAAACTAGGGGTTGATATGAGTCTCTCACACAGTATAACCTTGCACTTGACTTGGGTAGAATTAGGTTGAAAAAATGTCCTAGGATATCTAAGCTAGGAAAACACTAGTTCTTGAAACCTTTTTTAATCTGCAAGAAGTATAAAAGTATGAGCTTCATGCATGGCATATGGATGGTAGATGAAGTATGTAGGTTTCAACTGTAGGAGGTGTCTTAGAATCAGTCACAATGGTATAAATAGATCCTCATCGTAGTCGTAATATCGCTTACCCCTATTTCCTCTACCGATTTTTCTCTGTCCCACAGCTTTCTATGACTTTTAGCATTATCTTGCGATTTTCTAATATTTCGTCTATTTATTCTTTACCTAGCCGTGTTGAGGTGAGGTGTTTACAACTTCTTGTCTTGTAGACAGTAGTCACCAACTGGCTAGGCGTGATTTGGCTAGCCCATTTCTTGATATACAACTTAAAGATTTTCCTTTTCCTATCAATAGATCTATATCACTACAAACCACCTTTAGGGCTATCAGAAGAGTGGCATCAATAAAAAAAAATTAAATTGGAGTCAGAAAGCTATATCCAACCCAACTTTTGTTTAGAATAATGACGTTACTTTTTTGTGAATCCTCATATTAAGCAAGGTAGTTTTTTATAGTAAGTATATTTTCCTCTTTTTTTCTCTCTCTCTTTGTATGTGAACTTTCTACAAATTTTATGATACCTGAATTAAGCCTACATCTACGCATAGAAGTTTAATTAATTGATGATTAACCTAATCTTTTTGTGAACAAATCATGCTTATTTTTAGAATTGAAATCCATAGCCTCACACCATGGATAAAGGCCAGATATCTCGCAAACAGAACAAGGAAAAATTGCAGAAGTAAGACCTTTTATGATATCCTTTTGCTGTCATTTCACGAAATTTAAACGTTGCAAAATCAAGGGATTAAATAGAAATATGTTTATGTTTAGGCTTGGTACCTATTCCAATCCACTTCGTAAGAGGAACTATTTAAGTTATGCATTAACAATACAGCCATATATTTCATTATCAAGTTGGACATCCATCTGTTTACTAAGCAGTTATACAACCTGTTAGTCCATTTGCTTATTTAACAGCTATATGTTCGAAATAAAACGATCCATCTGAATAAAGGATACTGCATAGTTATCATGCTTTCTGTAACAGTGTTGTAACCTATGCTTAATCTCTGCAGTACTTCAAACTCAGACTGTCGTTATATATATTTTTGTTTTAGTGAAAAAGAGTTTTGAGGAAATTGTATAGTTTTTTCAGTTTTATAAAACCTAGTTTTCTGTAATTAAAGGGCTCATATACTTTGAGAAGTGGTCGGAATGTATGATGTCTTCGATTTACTTATGTATATAACAGACTTCATACATGTGAACCGAGAAATGCCTCATAAAAATTAAAGTAACAGCACAATGAAAATAAAAAGAATGTAAAGTCAGTACGTATATGCAAGTTTGTGCACTATAAATGAACTGCACCTATTGCATGATGGTCAATGATTGACCTACTTAAGGACTGATCTACCCCTTAGAGGTCATCTAGTTAACTTAGAGTATGCAGACGATGTTGTCCTCCTGGGTAAAGACTCTGATAAGACTCAGGGTCTTATGAACTCATTAAGCGGAAGTCTGAATATTTACTATGCGTTTCGCATCTGCCATTTGTAAGATGATACCTCAGGACTGATCTGCTGCAAGTACTCCCAGCTTAATGATAGAGAGTGAAGTGGTGCAGTATGTTGACCACTTCATTTTGGGGAGTTGCATCAGCCCGAAAGGACTGGTCTCTGATAAATCTCAGATAGAATACAGAAGGCCCGTTTGGCACTTCCCAAACTGCGTCATCTGTGGCGCCGATTGGCAAGATATAACTATCTGTCAAAGGACGAGTCTACTCCTCTGCAGTTCGTTCTGTCCTGTTATACGGCTGAGACTACCGTTAAATGTAGAAGACATAAAGCGGTTACATGGTTCTAATCATAGAAGTCTTCGTACCATTGCTCGCATTTGATGAAATCACCGTGTAAGCAATGTTGAGGCCAAGTAAACTGTATTAGGCAAGACTAGCAAGTCGATTGATGAGGTTGTAGACCTTAGGAGACTAAGATGACTTGGATATGTTTTAGGCGTGGTGAACACCGCCTACCTCGACGTGCAATGCTAAGGGAGGTTGGATTATGTTGAAGGAAGACTCAGGGCGGTTAGACCAAGACATGGCACCAGTCAATGAAGTCTCTTAGTGTTGGTCTCAGTAGTGTAGAGAGATGTAGGCAGCCTGTCTGGAATCATTAGTTGAAAACTCTCAGTGAGATGGCTGAAAATCAGTGACAATAGTGCAGTTATATTCACTCCTTGACGTCTTCTAAAGCTTGAATATTCACACTAACCTTTATCTTCAAACTGTTTATTCTCTCACAAAACTCTGTTTACTTTGATAACATTCCTCTTCTATCCACCTGTTCTTTGTGTACTACTGGGAAGTGTGGTAAGTTGAGCCGATGCATTTGTGTGAGAGGTTCTACGTTGATTTTGTCAGTCAATTAGTTACCGACTTGCCTGTCTTGCCTAATATTCTTCGCAAGATTGGTCACACGGTAGTCGTGACCTGAATACTTTGAAGGTCAAGCCTCTGACTTCTGAACTGACTGACCGAGGTACGAATCATCGATAGGACATCGTTTTCTTATGGTCGCAGATACCCCTTGCTGATGAGTGCCAACAGTCTATCTATATCAATCACTGAGTTGACGTCGGTGGACGCCACGCCATACAATATCTCATGTCTGGCCAGTGAGGGATGATTGTTTGAGTACAGTTGTAGCTGGCGATCGGCTAGGATTCCGAAAGTGCCTTTCTGCTTGACTTAACCTACTCACTTGTGCATTAAAATCACCATTCCAGAGACTCAAAGGGTAAATATTTTTCAGATTCCCCATATTGATTGGGTGAGGTTAAGTAAACAACCGCACTCAGGTCCCGTATGCATGTCTCACAAAGATAACATACATCAAAGGCCTGAGATGCCAGAGGTTTTGCTAGCGAATCTTGTTGGCCGACTTGAGAGGGAGTGTAAACATTGAGAGCTTCAATGTGTAATTTAAAGCGCGGTTTCAGGAGGCTAATGATTCTGTTCTGTGAACTTGAATCATTGTCAAGAGCTAGAAGAAATTTAAAATGACATAAGAATATCGACTGAGAGAAGCGTGAAAAAGTTTGAAGATAAGCATATAAAAGGTTGATAATGATTCGAGGGAACTTGAATGCTGACAAAGTTGTGATATGGTTGATATTTCCCGTCTGCCCACAGTGTGGGAGGTTTTTCTTCCATAGGCACCTGCAAAAGAAGGATTAGTGATAGTAGAACTTGACCACAGAGCCCAGAGAACATCTGCTTGGGACCTGTCACATGGTCTTTTTATAAGTTTGAGATCCATCTAAAAATTCATACCGCTGCCACTGATATATTGTAGGACAGAAGATAATGCGGAATTTTTTCTGACCGACCTTTCCTAGTTGCTGCTTTCCCTGGGAAAGGCAGTATTGCACTGCTGATCATCCGTGGAAAACACCTTATTGTTGTCACACCCCGTCCAGCCAGCAGTTACGACTTCGCCTTCGGACCCACATAGTAGACAAGTATATTACACTATAATGGTAACTGCTTTTCGTCCTACCAATATCCAACAGACTTTGGTAGTATGGTAGGACATGAAGGAGCAGGCATTCCAGCCAGTGTAGCTCGTTGGGTCATTGTAGTAGGAAAGCTTGACCTCCATGTCAACGCGGCAGGTATCGGTTGGGTTTCTTATTCATTATTATTACAGAATACAAGTTGGATCGATACATTTTTATATTGCATTCTACAAGATTCCTGATCTAACCGTTTAATTGTTGGTTACAATGTGGAAAATAAGACACCTATAAGCTGGCTAAACGGTAATTGGAAGATCTCATTCAACCAATAACTCTGTTTCATCTATCCGTCACCTAGATGCATTCTGAATACGGCAGTGATATTGCTGCGTCAACTATTACTGAATCTGAAAAATACTGTTTGAAGCTTAAAACACGAACAGAAAAGCAAGACAAGATATCTCGATTTCCGAATTCAATGAGGAAAGTGGTCCGGGATTACCAATTATACCAAATAAATTACTACCGAGGCTGTAGAAACCAAGTTTAGTTCTATCACATTGGTATTGGTCACCAACTACTCTAGTTCCTAAGAAAGAAGGAGGGGTCCATGTTTGCTAGTCCACCTGCTCACATCAGTTTCTAAGATCATAATAATCCGAAGACTATCTGAAACTCAACAACAGCAAATTCGAAAAGCCAAGCAGGTTTTAAGCTTGAATGAAGGTGTATTAGTCAGATTTTAGTCCTTTATCAGATTCTGAATCATAGACATGCTTACCAGGCTCTTGAAGTGATTTAGCAGTTCGAATATGGTTCAACTGCCAAGTGAGCATAAAATATTTTAACAAGGGTTCTCCTCGACCTCATGAAGCTGTGCAACAGTTAAGGGAGATTTGTCTGAGTTAATGACAGTGAATTTTATCCACCAAGTGTCGGGTGATAGGTTCTTGGAACCAACCAAGAACCTATCACCCAACAAATATGCAGAAGGAAATGGAGGTGGATTGGGCATACACTGAGAAGGCCGACTGGGGACATCACGCGTCAGGCCAGGCCCTCGAGTGGAATCCCCATGGGAAGCGACGAGTTGGGCGTCCGAGGTGAGGGTGACATGGAGGAGATTGTGCGAGGAGGAAATGAGAGCTTATGGGCTGTCGTGGAGCCAGGTTGAAAAGATTTCCGAGAACAGAGTTGACTGGAGACGTGCTAGTGAAGCCCTATGTTCCATTAGGAACCCAAGGGACTTATAATAATAATAATAATAATAATAATAATAATAATAATAATAGTGTCGAATGGTGCCATTTCTGTCCAACTATACCATGGATATCCTGATAAAGATAGAAACCCGTCTCTGACTTGCTGGGCATTAGTCTTCTGCTTGGAGAACCATTAATAAGCCGGGCTAATTTTTAAGGAAATTTCAGATGGATAAAAAGGGATTTTCTAAACTTAACTATTAAATCGACGAGTATCCAACTTAAACACTTCTATGGACAAGGTTCTCAACATTCTATTATTCGTTTATTCCTTAACTCTCCTGTCATCTCCTTAATTATAACATTTTCTTGATTCTCTTGATGTCTGCACCTTGATATGAAGTGTAGTACCTTTAACGGATACGAAGTTCTACATTGTTCTTTCTGTCATAAAGCTTACCTTACTGGGAATTAAATATGATGCGTTCATAGAGTGAAAAATATTAAGTTTCTACATCAGATACTTGACGACTATAGGTAGTAAATTACTCGATGGATTCGTCAGTTGTCATCCATTTAGGTTGTACTGGTTAGTAAAGGTTTGAGTAGTCTTACTCTCCTACTTTGAAACACGTTTTCACCAACCTGATAGTATTCGTTCTCGGTTATATATTTTATAAAGTTTCTAGTACTTAAATACAGTCATTTGGTAATGTTTACGAATACTCCATAGTTAAATTTTGTAGTAACTTAAACCATTTGACAATACGAACGTGAATGAGTTTGAAAATATTTTGTACGTACGTTTCAGCCGCTGTTTTGTAGAATAATGTTTCCTAACACAGTATGAGTTTGACTATCTGAGATATCCGTGGTTTGTTAGACTTATATTATTGATACTGGATGGTGGTTGAAAGTGAAATGAAAATTTGGGGCACTGCCAGATTTGAACCAGCAACCTCTGAATGATCGACCCGGTGCTCTACTAAATGAGCTACAATATCCCACTGCACACTACATCTTAATTTCACTTCACTCATCTCTAACACAATGACAAACTGGAGCCACAGTAGATAATTTTCAGTTCATAATGTAGTGCTGTAAAGTTGATAGTATTTCTTTTTATTGGTTTGAGATTTGTTGAGGCGTCATCGTCTCTTGTTTTTAGCCATTTAGACTTTATACACTAACTCCGTAAATTAATGGATCGAGTTAAAAATTGAAGTCATCAGTGATTACACTGTAGCTGAAGAATCATTGAAAAACTGTTCCTCCGATTGTTTGAAATCAATAAATTTTCACTAACCTCCTAGTTGAATTATGTTTCAGTTGTATTTTGTCTTGTGTTTAGGCAAATAACCTAAATCTTCCTTAGTTATGCTCATTTTTTACCGTTTCCCTTTTGTAGTCAATATTATTTTATGCTGGATGATGATTGAAGACGAAATGAAAATTTCAACCGTAGCCGGATTCGAATCAGTGACCATTTGGTTTCCGGCCCGATGCTCTATCAACTGAGCTACAAGGTCCTTGTTGGTTGGTCGCTAGTTGAAATCCGGCCACAGTCCAAATTTTCACTTCACCTTCAATCATCATCCAGTAACAGTACTAGTCTACCAAACCACGTGCAGCTATGTCAGATAGTCAAAATGATAATAAATATTATTTTAGCATAATTTGTTTTCATCATCTTTATCTTGTGTGATGTATCACTTGATAGTCTTTATATGGGTAAAACTTTTGCTAGCTCCTAGTTGTCCAGCATAGTAATCATTAGGTCATTCGTAAATTGCTATATTTTTGACAAAGGCAAAGCTTACATCTCATTCAAACATAGATGTCTTTAAAATCGATACTAGTTCTGACAACTTGAATGTTATACATAATTACTGTCAAGTAATTTGTTTTGTTGTTGTAACTATTACTTGTGACAGTACTGAGAGTCACTAAAGAAAGAGGAAAGATTTCTTACTAAACACTTAGCATACCAGACATTAGTTGTGTGCATGAGATTGTGTAAATAGTTTGTAACTACACACATGCACACACACATACGCACACCATTACTGTTTCATGTTTATTTTCTTTTTATAGTAATGATGGATAGTAGCTAGCAGTGAAATCCAAGATGCGCGTCTCGTCCTATTTTGGACTCTTCAGCTGGATGTACCTGTCTTCCAGTGAGCGATGTTGTTCCCACCAGGGTTCGAACTTGGGATGGATCACTTCAAATGCCAGAGTGTTATTCACCAGATTACCGAGCCATGATAGCCACTCCTTGTGCGACGGCTGGCGAGTCCTAAATAGGACGAAATGAGCATTCTGGATTTCACTACTAGCCACTATCCATCATTACTATATGATTAAAAACACAGGCAATATCGAGGCGTTCGCGCAGGTGCCTATATGCCAATAGAGACCGATTAATTCGGTCCGATCAACCATGGTATAATACAAGCAATAACATTTATTTTGTTTTTGTTAAAAAAAATTCTGTCTACAGAGAAAGTCATAGTGAGATTGAAAGAAAACGACGTGAACGAATGAAACTGGAAACAGAATTCTTACATCGTCAAGTATCACATTCTCAATGTAAAGATAAATTATCCATCTTTCTTGCTGGTGCTGAGAGACTTATCCACTATGGTAGTATGTTCAATTTGTTGTTTGGTTCTTCCACAATATTTTAATTATTATTTATATAGATAAACTAGGCAAACGAGAGTATATCATCAATGATGAAGAGTATTCACGTATTATTATCAATGTAAGTTTGAAACACTTTGCTTTTATTCAACGTACAAATAATAATAAACTAGACTATTGATGGATTCGCTATCCATGTCAGATGTTCTGATGGTGAAATAATGTATGAGGAAAATGTTCAAAAAGTGCTTGATATACCCCAGGTTAGTTTCTTGACTATCTTTTTTCTTCGAATTATTTCTCTTTCATAACCGAAATCGGAATTCAGTGAGATTTAAGGTGTTTTCGTACTTAGTGATTGAATGATTTCAGCAGTTGATTTCTAAACATTGGCTGGCTTTGTATCTTGGTACCGAGACTTTCGTTCACAGTCATGTTTACAATATTTTCTCATTCATACAAGGTATATGAATCTGACCACAAAAGTAACATTTCACCAGATGCTTCAAAGAGATGGGTGCGTAGACAAACAAATGGTTCGTGAGTACATCAGGGATAGGTCGCTCTTTTAGACCGTCTTAATGTACGTTTACAAGTTCTCTTCTTCTTGTGAAGTCGTCCAAACTGTACTTTCTTAAAACACATCTTTGTCTTGAATTGTTTGTTATTACGTGAAGGATCTAAGTGAATCATCAGTTTCACTGATGGACACCTGATTAACTAACCCATAAATCCTTTTTAAGATGGTATATAAAGTTAGAGGGAACAGTTTGAAAAATGTACAGTTCTGTAGCTTGTGCAATTTATTTAATTAACCCTGGTTCTGTATACAAAGTAAGTGTGTCCATCGTCGCATTTTGCAACCGTTTTAACCCCACTTCTTCTTTTCCAATTTCATAATTAGTAATTAATTCAGCATTACAACGTTTTGATCATAGGTGTCTTCGTAGGATTGCTCGCATTTGGTGAAATCACCGTTTGGGCAATGTTGAGGTCAGACGAAGGGTACTAGGCAAAACAAACAAGTCAGTTGATGAGGTTGTGGACCTTAGTCGAATGAGATGGTTTGGATATGTACTGTGCAAGCCAAGCCACCGCCTATCTCGACGTGCAATGCTAGAGGAGGTTAGATTAGGTTGAAAGAAGACTCAGGGTGACCACAACAAGACGTGGCACCAGTCAATAAAGTCTCTCTAACTGTCGGTCTGAGTCGTGTAGGGAAATGTAAGCAGCTTGGCTAATGTCCCCGTAACGAAAGGAATCATTAGTTAGAAATTTTCAGTGAAATGGCTGAAAGTCCATCATAATGGTGATGTATTCACTGCTTGACGTTTTATGGAGCTTGAATATTTACACTAACCTTTATCTTCAAGGTTTTTATTACCTTAAACAACTCTGTCTACTTTGATATCAGACTTTTTTTTATGCACCCGTTCTTTGGGTACTACTATGAAGTATGTCAACTTGTACTGATGCACTAGTGTATGAGGTTATACATTGATTTTGTCTATGTTTTGTCTGTCAATTCACCGTTCTTACTTTCATAATAGTCCGCTGTTTCGATTTCTATGTTACACTTGGACTCTAGAAAAAATTCATACTTTTCGAATAAAGACAAAGCGATGAAGGAAATTCTATTTTTGACTATCTTATTTTCATATTTATACTCATCATTAAAATCTTGTTGAAACCAGTAAGATAATGGTGGTGTGTTTTGCGTTGTCTTTTCTTACACGATAACAAGAATAATCTGAAAGGAAAAGCACTTGGTATAAAAACTATAAGTGGAAGGAAATAATAATATAAAGTTGTAGTAAGAAAATATTGTAGGGGAAAATAGATTACTACTCTCATCATATCAGATTTGATGAATGTACGTTATTTTTTCAAAGTTAAACATTATTTGTTTATTATTTGTCCTTTGGGTTCCTAGTAGAACATACCGCTTCAGTAGCACGTCACCGTTTCACTCTGCTCTCCTCAGTCTTTTGAACCTGACTTCGCGACTACCCACAAGCTTTCATTTCTTCCTTACATGATCTCCTCCATGTCACACTCAGCTGGGACGCCCAACTCGTCGTTTCCTGTATGGGTTCCACTCGAGGCCACGGTCTGATGCGTGATGTCGCCAAACAGTCTTCTCAGTGTATGCCGAACCCAATCCATCTCCACTTCCTTCTGCATATTTATTGAGCGATAGGTTCCTCGTTGGTTGGTTTGTCACCAGCCAGAATTCCTTGTTGCTTATTCTTTCTGGCCATCTGATTTTCAGTATCTTTCACACAAGACTTTAAATTGTGAATTCTCAATGTTCCAGCTACGCATAGCTGACGTATTCGAAGTCTTTCGGGTTTGTATGAAGTGATTATGTGAATTACTTTAAGGTTGCTTCTAAGAGGAGTCGGATGTGGAAAGGTGATAGAGTTTCCAAGTTATAGATGCAATCCTTCTGGCTTCCCTAGATGGTCAAACTTTCATATTAGAATCAGTGAATCTAGGTGAACATCCATTTTCTAATAGGATATTTAGATGAACATTTTATTTCGTTACGTTGTATCTCTTCAGAACAGATCTTCCGAATCATTGAAATGATTGATGAAATGATTCATAGCGTATGAAGTTAATAAGTTTTCCAACTGCTGTTGGTTTTTCTCTCTCTACTTTGGTCTCTAAGTGAAAGTATCCGATTATTTCTTATTAGCAATCTGAGAATAGAAACGTTGAATTTCTTGACTTATTTTGAAAATGGTACTTTTTTTTAATCTCTCAATCAATCAACTCCACTTTTAAAAAAGCTACTTAGACAATATTCTGATAACTTCTCTTTTGAGATCAATGTACAACAAATTAAAATGAACTAGACTGTTTATTTGTTAATCAAGTTAAAGTTGGAAGCAAGTGCCTCTACAAAAGTAAACAAATTTGTGTATTGAAACAAAAGAGATGATTTGACAATCTTTTGATTTATAAAATATGTGTAGGAGACAGAATATTGCAAGTAGGAAGGTTATTTGAAAGATGCCTCATCAGAATGACTCTGAAGTTAATTCCATATTAGATTTATTTATTTGATTTATAACACATAGTGATCTAGTATTATTTACTTGATGACGACACTTCAAGCATAAATTATTATCTCTCATATTCATATCAGTGTAATCACACATCACTTTCGACATCTGATTTTTATAGTCCTGTCACCTGGTATTTTTTTTGTTTTTATTGGCAGCATAATTTAGTTAAGCTCCTATGTTCGACTATTCTAATCGACTCTGATAGGCTAGTTTGACCTATATACTTGACCTCGCATTCATTATATCAGATTTGATAGATTAGATTATTTTGCTCAATTGGATCTATCGAATCCTTAAGTCAGCCGACAAAGCTTATCTCTGAGTGAGTACGAATTCTCACGAAAACATAAGAAACGAAATAATAACAGTAACACGAGTACGAATAATAACTACAACATAAGTAGAAAGGAGTTCATAACCTTCATTATGTTACCCTTTAAGCGAGGTACATCACAAACTTTACGTAGGATCCTCAACAAAGCTGGAATTAACCTACAAACTCACTCAGAGATAAGCTTTGTCGGCTGACTTAAGGATTCGATAGATCCAATTGAGCAAAATAATCTAATCTATCAAATCTGATATAATGAATGCGAGGTCAAGTATATAGGTCAAACTAGCCTATCAGAGTCGATTAGAATAGTCGAACATAGGAGCTTAACTAAATTATGCTGCCAATAAAAACAAAAAAAATATCAGGTGACAGGACTATAAAAATCAGATGTCGAAAGTGATGTGTGATTACACTGATATGAATATGAGAGATAATAATTTATGCTTGAAGTGTCGTCATCAAGTAAATAATACTAGATCACTATGTGTTATAAATCAAATAAATAAATCTAATATGGAATTAATTTCTACCATAGTGCCCAAGTTTTACATTTATATTAAGTATCTGAAGTTAATCCTTTAATTGACTAACTGTTAGTGGTATGAATTACAAAGACCGTCACCAGCAAATTACGTACAGTCTTATTGATGATGAACTGAAACTGTTAAGAAGGAAACTTATTAAGAACCTACTACTTATAGTTAGTGTAGTAGTGTGTACTAGTTGGTGTATTCGGGCTTTTGATAGTACTTTATAGTGTATAACTTAGTAGTTTGAAGAACAACGCGTCATCTGAATGTGCTACTAAAAGTATTAGAAGCATACTGCATAGTGGATTCAAATTGAGTTCACTGAATTGTCGTTTAGTAATAGGTTGACCGAGTCATTGATATTCATCAACCAACTAATTCATCCTTCTTAGGAAGGTATCTCAAATATAAATAAGTTCTTAGTAGACCCTGTGCACATGTATTCAAAAGGATTGGTTTAACAATAATGTAAAATTAAATATCAATTTTGTGAAAATCACCAATACATCCTTCACTTGATAAACATTTCTCAAGTCCCAAGTTTAGTAATTAATGATTTATAGTGGGTGATGACTGAAGGTGAAATGAAAATTTGAACCGCGGCTGGATTTGAACCGGTGACCACCGGGTTACCGGCGCGGTGCTCTACCAACTGAGCTACGAGGTCCGAATGCTGATCAGACTCTTATTTCACTTCAATCACCAAGGGTTTTGCTTGACTGATTAGCAGTCGGACCTCGTAGCTCGGTTGGTAGAGCACTGGGCCGGTAAGCCAGTAGTTGCTGGTTCGAATCAGGCCGCGGTCCAAATTTTCATTTCACCTTCAATCGTCACCCAGTATTAATACTAGTCTTTCACACTACGGCTTTCTGAGATAGTCAAATGATAATTAATTATTTAGTACATGGAAACAGAAGACAGAACGATTAAGTGGGTCTACTTTAGAGAAACACTTAACTGACTTTTTTCAGTGGTCAAATTTAAGCATACAAAGATACTAACCTGAACACTGGTTTCAGATACGTTTCACTCACCAGAAGCAATTTGAGAAACTATCGAACATAGTCTACCTGGTGATGATAGGTTGATCAATTTGAACGGCTCACTTTGGCGTCAGCAGGGTTCCCGTTGGAAACCATACAGCCAAAATTACAAAGTGTTATCTCTGATACAAAAGTGTCATAAACAAATGAGTAGTTAAAAACCACTCAGGTTGATCTGTATATTTTGCCAGCCAGCCAGAACAGAGTGATCTAATTATCAGACAACCATTTCGATCATTTGGGGTCGAGCTGTCGAAATCTAACTATTCAATTTGTTCAGTAGTATATTTCATCTACCTGGAGACGTATTTATGAATAGTTTATCTGCCTGTCGATAGAGAGCTTCAATTTAAGTTCATCATTATGAGGGGGTAAACGTATTAACAGTCATACAAACTTGAAGATCTACAGGCGAAAACTAACTAGTTGGCAGAAGAGGCAGCGAAGACGGGACTTCAAGTGAACGTAGAGAAGACAGAGGTGATGGAGATACCCAACCAACAATACCACCACCACCAACAACAACAAGCTCCAATCACCATCAACGGGAGAAACTTAAAGTAAGTGGCCTCTTTCACCTACTCACCTACCTAGGCAGCATCGTTTCGACTATATGCGGCACAGACAAAGATGTCAAAACCAGGATCCAAAAGCAAGACAGGCGTTCATTAGCCTGAAACCAGTGTGGAGATCTTCTGCACTCAGCCAGCATAAAGCATGAACATGATCCGGATTTTCAACACCAATGTCAAGTCAGTGCTCCTATATGGTTCAGAGACTTGACGCGTTACGAAAGGCATTTCCAACAAACTGCAGACATTCATCAACAACTGACTACGCTCGTTACTGAAGCTCAGATGACCAGAAAGAATAAGCAACAAGGAATTCTGGCTGGTGACAAACCAACCAACGAGGAACCTATCGCCCAATAAATATGCAGAAGGAAGTGGAGATGGATTGGGTTCGGCATACACTGAGAAGACTGTTTGGGGACATCATGCATCAGACCGTGGCTTCGAGTGGAACCCATGCAGGAAACGACGAGTTGGGCGTCCCAGCTGAGTGTGACATGGAGGAGATCATGTAAGGAAGAAATGAAAGCTTGTGGGTAGTCGTGAAGTTAGGTTCAAAAGACTGAGGAGAGCAGAGTGAAACGGTGACGTGCTACTGAAGCGGTATGTTCTACTAGGAACCCAAGGGACAAATAATAATAATAATAATAAACGTATCGACAAGACAGTATGATAAAGATTTTACTTGCCAAACTTGGAATTTACAACGTGTGAAGCCCAAAGCATCTGTGAAATGAGTTTTCATTCTAACCTGATTTCAATGTTGAAAGAATAAAGATTTTCACTGATTAGTATACATAGGTAGTGGTATCAACGCTATTGGGTTGGTTGCTGTCAAAATCTGAAGAGTGTAACAAGAGGCGTACCTATCTGTTTACCCGTGACCACAATACATTAGTAACTGGTATTGTTCATGTTATTCTTACGATTTTAACCTACTGATACTTGAGAGTTTCAGATGGATTTGTAACACGGTTCTGACGTTAGACGAAAAACAAGGTTACTTATTGAAACCTAATCCATCGACTTCATGGAGTTATGAGTCATTGGTTTAGTTAGTTGACTTTAAGCCAGTAGGTTATGGGTTTCAACATCACTTCATCTATCTAGGTGTGAGCAGTCTGATAGTACTGTTAGCCCTACTATATGAATGTGCACAAAGTTGTTGAGTGCAATTCCATGTTTAGATATTAAGCATGGAGCTTTCTTATCTAGATAGTTGACTTTCAAATAATTAATCATTGGCTAGAAAACTACCAAGTTTTAGTCACCTAGGTAACATCACAGTCATCACCTAACAGCAGTGATTTTTGTAAGAATTTGTATGTCGTTATGATAATTTGCTTCTCGGAACCCAAACCTGGACTCTAGAAGGCCAGTACCTAGTGCTGAAAATGAAGTCAAGCAGCTATCCACTTCATCATGGTTTGTATCGAATATTTGTAGCTTCATACTGAAATCAGTGCTGATGATGTCGTCCAGAAAGACGATGAAAGCTTCACGATTTAACAACCCAGCTCAGAGAACACAATACAACCAAGTACTTGAAACAGTTATCTCTTGACCAACTGCTACTATTTCCAACGTTTCTGTAATGCTTACTAATATCATTATAACTGTTGTTTATCTTTACTATCGCTTTCAGGCCAACTTTGTCGGTAAAACACTTTATGATGTGGCTGAACCAAGTAGTAATACAAAACGAATTATTTGTGATAACCTTATTTTCTATGGTTCTGAGATGCAACAAGCTAAAGATGGAGGTAAATCATTTATATACATAAATAAATAGTGAATTTTTTCAATCTTCATCTGTAAAATATTACAATTTTCATTGGGTTAAGTTTTTTTTAATGAAATTGTGAATGATTCTCGTTAACGTGTCACTTTGTTTCATCTAATTTTATGGTTCTGTATATCAGTTTGGAATGGGGTTCACTTCTTATGAGATTTTGATTCATTGTTAGTAAATCAGTTGTCTCCATCTTTTTATAATCACTCAAATGTATAGTCTGAAAAATTATAGTTCCATCTAGGTGTACAAAAACATAAGGTGAATAGTATGTTTTGAATCCAAAATTGACAAAAGTACGATTCATATTCTTTTAGCATCTCCAAGACTGGCTCCTCATTTATTAACAATGCAATGTAATGTATTACATGTACATATGATTACAATTTACGAAATAGCGATCGAGATTACAAGCCTTGAGTACAGTTTTATTACTTTCACACAGATAGATAGACAAAATCAACGCAGAACCTCATACACAAGTACATCGATTCAAGTTGTCACACTTCAAAATAGTATGCAAAGAACAAGTGAATAGAAAGAGTCATATCAGAATAGACAAATGTGTATGAGCGAAGAAATTATTTCAAGATAAAGATGACTGTAAATATTCAAGCTTTATAAAACCTCAAGGAGTAAATACATATGGGCCATTGTCACCAATTTTCAGCCATTTTCTCCTAGGAGTCCTCAATCACTGAATCTATATTCTCAGGGACCCCATCCAGGTAGTGTGCACCTCCCTACACGGCTCAAAATAACATTCAGAGATTTCATGCACTCCACGCTTGGTATTCGCAGCGCATGTCTACACCACCTCAGTCGATAAAGGTTCGTATTGTTACTACCTATAAAAGTAGTCATTTTCTACTATTTGTAAAATTAAATGTACATCTACGAAGGTGTTTCAACAACAAGAAAGTTAACCATATGAAATATAGTATCATTCTGCCCATTTAAGTAATTAGAAGTTGACTAGTGTAAAAAAGAAATAATACGCCCAGTAATACAACAGCTAGAATTTCTTTTCTAGTACAACTTATTGAATTGGAAGTGTTTGTTGTGGGCGACTTTAAAGGCCACCTTAGCATTTATCGAAATAACCAATCAGATCTCTCCATTTCTTCTGGAAAGGCAGATTTTCATAAAATACAGAACTCTGATTGGTTATTTCAGTCGTTGTTAGGGTCGCTTTTAAAGTCTCCTGTTTGTTGTCATTCATTTGTCAGCTATGCAGTAAAAACACATTTCTTACTCTGTAGATAACTATTTTGAAATATTTCCGGTTGGTATTGGGATGCATGACAACTTAAACTGAGTACAATTTCGCTAGATGTTCTACATTGGTCCGTTTATTTATCTTTTTATAGAAAATAGTATAATAAATCAAGCTTATTCAACAAAATACTTTGCGGGAATTTGAAATAATTGATCTCTTTGAAGAATTTTTGCACTGTACGAAGAGAAGCTAAAGTGTATCTGAGAAATGTGATATATTTATACAATTCATTTCGGACAAAACCTACATGGACTGAACTGTGTGTGAACTTTCACAGCTTCTGTCCATTATAGTACACACGGGGTTTAGTAAAGTGCTTATTTAACAGAGACGCTAACGAGTAACTCAAATCTCTTGAAGTTTATAGGTCGGTACAGAAATAATTCAACATTTTGATCTACTCAGTACTGTCCCGATTAGATGAAGCCTATGTCACGCTACCGTACAGGGGGAATCAAACAATACGATTTTGAGGTGGAGATTTAGTTTAGTTATTAAAAGGACATACTATGCAGTCAAACTTTTTATTCTATAGAGAACGAAACCCATGCTTCAATACAAACCTCATCACTATACAGATGATTACGTTACATCCCGTTGTGTATATCAATTTATATATGTATATATATATATATATATATATATATATATATATATATATGTTAACGTATACATTGGGAGGAGTAATCGAACTATAAAATCAATGGTGGTGAAACACATTCCCCTAAATGGCTGGAAAAACAATTATATTCAGGTAGTCCGATAAACACAGGTGATAAGTTGACACCATCGTTTACAGGTAAACAAATTATGGAAACAGGTCATAGGATTGACCCCAAAACAGCCTTTAGACCATTACATAGGTAGCATCAGGACCGTATACTCAGATTCATTGAAGCCTTAGCCATGCGAAAGTTCAAATCTCCTTTAGATATTGTCTTCACTTCAAACCTTCTATGGTAATCTTTATATCATTTCTGTACCAAAGGTAGTTTGGAATATATTATTCCTCATTATAGTCCTTCATTTTTCAAATTATCCTAACTTATTTGCATAATTTGGTTTTTATGGGTATTCCCAGGTCTACCAGACGTCACCAAACATAAAGGCGGCTTCTAGTTAGGTGCACATGAATAAAAACGGTGTACACAACAAGCCATGTACTCCTACTAACTGGGAAAGCCCTAAAGTCTCGAGTATCCAACCGTACCTTCTTAATTGGGACGACATCGAGTGCCCGGCCCGGGCTAACCCACTAAGGCCAGTCATACCTTCCACTCATCGCTGATCAACCCTACTCCCACCGTAGTTAGCTTCGCTGAATCTATTGCTTTTCAAGCCAATATTTTATGCCTTTGAAATGGTTGATGATGTTAAAGGAAGCTGGTAGAAACCGTTTCATAAAATATACCGAAGTTATTCTATTCAACGGTGACTCTCCAACTGTCTGCTACATGGAACTGAGTTTACCAGTTACCAGAAATGTTGAAATATTAGTGTTCTGATCGATATATTGTCATTGGATATATGTATTGTGAAACAAACAGGTTTAAGGAGAGTTTAAGGCATAGGCTTAGTTAAAGAAACATGCAATAGCGTAAGGCAACAGGGAAATTTTCAGGTCACACATACGCAATGACACAGTCAATTCGGCATGAAACAATCGAATTGCAGCTCCAAGATTCATAACAGACTTCTGTCCAACTCCACCTCTGTAACAGTGTAAATGGAAATCGCATTCTGAATAAAATTCAATCTGAAATTTGCTCACACTCTCACCATTACAATACCTTTCTGATTGACAGACGATGGTGATGGTGATGGAGATGATAGAAACAACGGTAAGCTATCTGTGCGGCACATCACACTGCATTCACAACATGTTATCGCCCTAGGGGTCTCAGCCCGTACTACCTGCGTGGTTGGTCTGCAGCTGACCAGGTTCAGGAGTCAATCGGCGATCGCCTCTGCAAACCTGTTCCTCACCCGGGAGGGATGTTACAAGCATCATAGTTTTGAGTGGTCTACAGCGGTTTATGGTGTAGTCACCAGAGTCACTATAGGCGTTGTTTCTGTACATTAGTGCAGCTTGTTCAATACGTTGCTTTAAAGGTGATTTTCCACCAACACTTGATAAAGGTTGGGTAGCAAAACTGTAAGACATTGGAAATAGAATAGTTATTAGCAAGAGGGGTTAATTACTCCGCGGAAGGTTTCTTCGGGTATCTGAAAATACAATTCATATAGATGGTTTTATCGGCCTGGAATGTGAAGTCAGTGTACAAAATGGTAAGCCTCTTGATACCTGTCGTAAATAACTTTCTGATGATATTAGATTCAAATCTAATTGTGTTTGACTCATGCTGTAAGAAATTTTACCACCAGCAACAAAACTTCATGGAAGAGGGGGCATGTTATTTTTTTAAATTGCCATTCTCTAGCTCCAACATCATACATTGTATTGTGTTCTCTCAGCTGGGTTGTTTAATCGTGGAGCTTTCATCGTCTTTCTAGTGATAGCCAATTGGTGTTCATGTAGACGAAGGAGAGCAACCACTTTGTCCAATGTAGTGTTGAATACAGTTATTGCAGTTGATTTTGTAAATGATATTCGGTTTGTCTTCTTTGGTTGTTGCATCCTTTGGTCTGCATAATAGTGTTTGGAGGGAATTTGTTAGTTTATGAGCCACACCAATTTCAAGTGGTCTCAGTAATCTTGTTGTGATTTCTGATATATTATTTATGTACGGTAGGGTGGTGCGTTTGTTGATTTCTGTCGATGGCTTTGTAGATGATGTTGTACGGGATAAGCATCTTCTGATAAAGTTTCGTGGGCAGCTGTTCTTTAGGATAGACATGAAGTAATTTTCTTCTTTTCTCCGTTTAGTTTTTGTACTGCAGTGTGTTCTTGCTGTTTTGAATAGAGTGTGGATGCAACTAATTTTGTACGTTGTTGTGTTGTTGATACTGTAGTTGAAAATTTGGTCAGTATGTGTTGGCTTCCTGTACACTTGGGTTTCCAGCTTTCCGGCATTTGTCCTATTGACTAAAACATCGAGGAATAGTAGTTGGTTGTTTGACTCCTTCTCTATAGTGAATTTGTTGTCATTGAAAATTTGTTGATCAAACTGTGTATGTTTTCTATATCACCTTTTTTAATGATGATAAAAGTATCGTCTACGTGGCGAATCTAAACTTTTGGTTTAATCACAAATAGAATGATGGCTTCAGGTCTCTTCATGACTGCTTCTGCAATTAGTCCGGATATCGGTGATCCCATTGGAGTTCTTTTCATCTTTTTGTATATCTTGCCACTGAATCGAAAGTATGTTGATGAGTTCCACTAGACTTGAACATTTAAGTTTTGTGCGTTCTGAAAGGTTTATGTCTTTATTGAGCAGGAGGAACATAGTTTCCTTGACCAACTGGGGTTCGACACAACAATCAAAGGAAACAACCAATCACAAACCATTTCGTCAGGGCAAGCTACTTAATCACTCACGGAGAGATATTGAAAGCTCACTTCATCCTGAAGTAGTTAGTGTTGGTGATGTCGTCTAGAAAGACGATGAAAGCTTCACGAGTAAACAACCCAGCTCAGAGAACACAGTACACCATCCACCTGAGCTACAAATATTCTCCACCATTCCAGAAAGTTTATTTCATCTTTTGTTTCCTCCATTTTTATTCTGAATAGATACTGATCAATATCCTGCATTAATAATAACCACTCTCTCCCTGAACTAATACTTTGTGTATTTATAGAACTTATTCCCCGGAATTTTGTAATTGCTATGCGTTGTGGTCCTGGTGTTCCGTTAAGAAATTGTGTACGTGGATCTGACTGTCAACTGTATCGATTCATTGAATTCTGTGGGGATATTGTATATCAGAGTATGTCATTATTAATTTTTCCTTACTTATTGCGTGTAAATATGTATATATATATATATACCTTAGACGTTTGTCTTTGTCAAGGAAAGTATGCTTTCTTTTCAGACAGCATTAATTAATCTTCCCATTGAAACATATGAAAAAAAATTCAGGGAACGAATTGATTTTTAACGATGACATTCTCAGGAGCTGTATAACTGATTGAAGTATAATTAGTCTCTACATCTAGCGGCAAGCAATTTCGATACCATTTGTAGAATCGTAATTAATTAAACCCTCCAATAGAAACCGAATTACATTCGAAGATACTCCATTTTAGTCTGTTTATCAGAAAGGTCACACACAGTGAACAGACAGAATCATTTACTGGATAACATCATTTCCGACACAGTTTATTGTCCATATTCATATCAGGTAGCTGACTTCACAATTTTGAGACAGAGTTTATATAGTCCTAATTTTCTCTCCTCTGTAATGACAAGCGTAGTAGAATTTTCTATATATCTGGGACAGGTGCAGAATCATTTCTATTAATGCATGTATTTGGCGTTGTTTCAATAAACAAAGATTCAGTTATCGATCTTTCCTTCCTCCACCCAACTAAGTTAATTTTTAACTCTGTCGCTCTATCCCACCCTACTATGTGATTGTGTGTAATTGCATGCAGAGCTATAGCTGAGCTTTTTTTATGAGTTTCTTATTTTATGAGGGTCTACTAATCTTGATTCAGCCTAATTTTTGTGCTATTGCTCCCTTGCATCAGCAGTCAGAAGAAACTTGGGTGCTGACAGAGTTGTGAGGGCGGTTGACACTTCCCGGCTGCCCACATCGTGGAAGGCTATTTCTTCTTAAGGTACCTGAAAGAGATTTGTGTGACCGCAGAGCCCATCGGATATCTGCTTGAGGCCTGTCACACCCAGCCTTTTGAGTATGATTATTTTGAACTTTTGTATTTTTGGGGCCGGATGGTCGAAAGGAAACGACAAGTGAACCAACACCCTTGCTCCCTTGCAATGATTGCGAAGTCAAATACATAGGTGAAAGTAGACGACCAGGGTCGATTAGAATAACAGAACACAAAAACTTAGCTAAATCAAGAGTAGTAGATAAGAAATTTAGAAAAAACCTCGTCTATAGCTATGCTTGCGATTGCATACAATAAGTTTAGGCAGAGTAATAGTGTTAGAAACTTAGTTGGGTGAATGGAGGGAGAGTTTGATAACCGAATCTCCGTTTATCGAATCATGCAGTAACAGAAGCGATTCTGCACCTGTTCCAGATATCAAGATAACCTTCAATGATGACAACAGGACACAAATGAGGAATATACGTTACTAATTCCCAACATTTCACTTTTTTCAAAACAATAAAACTATACTCCCACGAAAATTACTGTCCAATAAGTAAAAATTACCAATCCTACTCCCTCACTTGACCCTCTCACTATATGAACATTTACCAATCCTCGATTTACTCAGATTTCTGGACTGTCATAATGGCAGCTGAAATCTGGACAGACAATAAAATCCAGGAAATCAACTCACCCATTAACTTTAAAGTGAACATATTTAAAATAATGCTATGCAATAGACTTCTCTAGTACTTCATCTAACAGTGAATATACCTACTTGATAATGCTGCATACCTTAAGGTAAACAGTATGGAAAACGCATTGCCATTGGTCCACAGTTTTTTCAAATGTTGATTCCTTTGCATCACAGTATCTAATTCTGATAGCGTAAATCTATATTGCTTTGAATGATAACGCTTGAATAGATATTCACTTGGATTACATGATCATATTGAAACTTACGGATTCTTGAAATCGTCAGTGTGGTATCATTTGGTCTCTGAAGCTATAAGCATAAGAATTTATGGTAAAATAGACGTTTATCTAGCGTAATGGGGCATTGCGAAGACGAATCAAACATGTCGACTGCTTGTAACGGAAATTTAGAATTTTGTGCGACCTTGGTGCCATTAATGGTGAAAAAAGAAAGTATGACTGAAAATGATCCAAAATTTAACACTCTGTATATGCTGAAGAGCGATATTTTTTTGTTCATTTCATAACTTATGTAACCTTTTGATGTTTTTAATCGAGTTTAATGACCTGCCTTCCGAACCATTCAGGTCCCGTAAAATCTTGTAGATTTTTTAACATATATCAATGTGATGATGCCTGTAAACTGGCTTCTCTCATGTTAAATTACTAATATGAGAATAAAATATTTATTTATGGAAAGTCCTACTACCCTTGTCATCACAGAGACGCAGAGGAAATGACGACTATATCAACTCTGTCTCAAAATTGTGAAGTTAACTACCTTATATAAATAGGAACAATAAACTGTGTCGGAAATGATGTTATCCAGTAAATGATTGTCTGTTCACTGTGTGTGACCTTTCTGATAAACAGACTAAAATGGAATTACAATTTACCAGTGTCCAATTTCCACTCCTATATTCGGAGATACTATTTCTTGATATTTTGCTAACAAGAAGAGAGAATATGTCCCTTAAAATATCCTTTTTGTCAAGAATCTACATGGACAATAAACGGACAATTAATCACTTCTCATAGCTGCGCTCATATCGGCAAGAAAAGGAATTTACTCCATTCTATTAACCCTCGGATTCAGAAAATTTGAACTTTTTGAACATTAGAATAGCTGAGATTTCTGAGGTTAATCCGCAGCCCTGAGTAGCTCAGTGGTAAACTGGTGTATTGCTTGATGCGGGTTTCAATCTCTTAAGAGATATCTATTCCTTCGAGATTGCGGATAAACCCTGTTGATGGGTCCCAATAAAAAAGCTACCTAGGTCTAACATGGCCTTCTCCCAGTTACTTCCAACCAACTAACATCTATCAAAGTGCACCGCTACGATGAATTCCCTAGTTTGGTGACCATGCTGCTAAATGATTAGTAAAATTCGGTCAGCACTTAAGATTAAATAACATACGATTGATTACTCTCTGTGACTAATCAGTAAGGTCTGTTTTCGACTAAAAGGATACTTGGGAAGCCTTATTGATGAAAATCTGAATTAAGAAACTACCCGTCAGACATTTGCCTCGGTAGCTATTGATAAAATATCTTTTGAAGTTGGAATTCAACGGTGACACAACAAATGACATTCTGAAGTGTAAATTGATGAAATCCATTATGACAACATCCTATATTGCAGTTGTGTGAACCAGTTATCTAATAGTAAAGATCTTTGCGAAGGGTAAACTGCGAGTACTGGCTGCTTCGATATGCATATATCTGTTCATCTGCTTCCGTAAAGCTAAGAATATAGGTTATCCCCAAAGGTAGGTTGTTCAACATCGACGCGAAAGCTTTGATGCATGGACAAATAGGGTTAAATCTAGATCAATCAGCTGATCAACTGTTGACACAACTATAAAGGATGTTCTGGTGTATTCTGTAGAATTGTAAAGAACTTTCTAAAAAGTTTAAACGTCTACTATGCATTGTTGAAGCTGTAGCAATACGAACTAACGAAACGCGCTCAGCTATCCTCTGCACATTCGTACAATAGGCGATGAACCACACCCACTGTGTGAAGGCTAGTGATGCTACCTGGCTGCCCAAGCCCCTGCAAGTGGAGTGGGGCTCAAACTCATGACCCAGTGGTTGGTAGTCATCTTCATAAACCACTGATCCAAAGCAGCGGCAATACAAAAGTGGAAGCCATAATTGTGTTCCATAACGAATTTCCTATTTACTGTCGTTATTCAGTGTTTACCAGTGTAAATCATTCAACTCAACTTATTCTTTCTTTTCTACTACACGTATAATTTTGTCACTTTGTTATTAAGTAGGCTTCCAATTAAAACATTAGTGTTGAATCTTGCCTCTCTCACTGACAATTATTAAAGCCTATTTTGAGGTGTATGGCGATTTTATTTATTTCAAAGTAGTATCCATCAGGAACTGACATAAGTTAAATAGCCATTGAAAACCTGGGAGTACAGGATATATGTTCCGTCCTAGTGTGAGGCACCCATGACCCTGCCAGAGGCCGAACTTGGCACCTTCAGTTCTCGCGGTGAACGCGTTAATCATTCAGCTACTGAACTGAAGTTCATTGGTTCGTAGTTTCTTACTTCTATCAATTCGCGATATAGCGCAACTGTCCACCAGAGTCGTCAGTTGGCGTCTGCTTCACTTCCCACTGGTTGACCTCACAAACCACGGCTTCTCATTAGAGTTTCGGGATATCCATTTCGAAGCACGTCACTAATAAGCACTATGCTGTAATTTAACTTGAAGTTTATTGGGATTTTATTTATTTCAAGGTAGTATTAATCACAAATGAGACCTGGAGGTCATGAGTTCGACACCTGGTGGGTGCGTACTGTTAAGGAATCCTATACTAGAAACAAACAACTGTTCAGTACTCCCAGGTTTTCAATGGTTTTCCAACTGATTTCAGTCCGTGATTTACACTACCGTTAAGTTATTAAAACCATTTTGTTAAGTGTTGCTCATCGCTTCATTTTTACTCATGCTTATTTTACAACAGTTAGTTCTTCACACTGTCAAATATCTTAATAGTTCTTACGTAACTGTCATTTGCATATTATTAGCCTGATTGCAACCTAACAAGAGTAATAATTTCACAAACCATTTTGGTATTCTTTGGCATTTAATGGATACACTAATCATACTGAAATTACGATTGCACACAGCTTTCGATAATGACTTTAATCTGATTGGTGACGGGCTCCACTTCTCGAGGTCTGGGCAGTCAGATAGTAACGTTCACCTTTACACTATACGTGTAGCGTATTTCCTACTTAACGAATGTGCATGCTATTGGTGATTGCATTTCGATTTCGAATACTTCACTTCCATCTACTCTAACAGTAAATTAGTCAAGTTGTGATGATTTGCTTGGTTGTGACAAAATCCGCTTTCCGTCATGTTTGGAACTCGTCAGCTGGATGTACCTGCACCCCAGTGAGTGATGCTGTTCCCACTAGGATTTGAACCTTGTGCCCATCAATCCAATTTCCAAGGCGTTATCCACTACGCTACGAAGGCATAATTAACATTCAGGTAATATCGAGGTATCTGCACAGGAGTCCATATGCTTATAGAGGTAGTTGAACAATTCGATCCAATAAAAACAACGGAGAATAACAAGTATATCAATAAATAATCATGTTGTTGATTTAATAACAGGATAGTTATATAGTTGATCTATCACTCTTCGCTCTAAGTAGGTATCAGTTCCAAATGACCTAAAAATTAATTTGTATTATGCGAACAAATGTAATTAGTCTCAATTACTAACACCTTAAGGCATATGCGTTTCTAAAATTTCATTTTTTATAACTGCTAACATATTATTTCTATACATATAGAAAATAATGTTTGTGAAGCTAATGCTTTATTTCGTGGAGTTTGTCGTCCGTTGGATATGGCTTGTCAAACGGTCTTTGATAATAAACAGTTAAATAATCAAACAAATCCATTCGAAGAGTATACTTCACCTACAGAGACTCCTATCACTTCCGCTGATCATGTAACCCTACGTATTGCGGCGGATAACTTCTCAATCACGGAAGTTGTTGGCAAGTAAGTTCATATTGTTCATAGCTGGCAGTAAAGATGATTTACTGATCTATGGCACTTTTAACTTCTATAGATAGTTGCCATATTCTGTCATTTATCAATCATTTTATTTAATAAAGTAAAACAAATGATAGTTCATAAAGTAGCAGGCAAAAAAACAAATGAAATGAATGTGAAAAGAAGTTGTACAGTTACAAGCGAAATTGGATGAATGGAACATATTGAAGTGGAAATGAAAACAGGCTAGATAAAGGTATAGTTGTAATGAGTAATTAGTTTTCAGCAAAGTGCATACAACTATAAAACAAACAAAACATAAGGAGTGTTATGTAATAATGAGTAATGTAGTATTGAAAATGCAGACAGACAAAATCAACGTAGAACTTCGCACACGAGTGCATTGGTTCAAGTTACCGCACTTCATCGTAGTATACAAACAATGAGTGGATCGAAAAATATTGATATCAAAGCAAAGAAAAGTGTATGGGTGTAGAGAGGATTTAAAAATTTGCACTTCCCTACATGGTTCAGACTAACAGTCAGGGATTTTGTGCACTGGTGCCACTTCTTCGTCTGGCCACCCTGAACCCTAATCCAACCTCCCCTAGCATTGTACATTGAGGTGGGCAGTGGATTGGCATGTACAACACATATCCAAGCCACTTTAATCTCCGAAGGTTCACAACTTCATCGACTGATTCGCCTGTCTTGCTTATCACCTTTCGCTCAACCTCCATACTACTAACTCGGTGATTCCACGAAACATGACCAATCCTACGAAGACGCCTATGGTCAAAAAGCTGTAATTTCTCTGTACCTACTTTTAACGACTATGTCTCACAACCTTATAAACGACAGAACGAACTACAGCACAATATATTCGTCTTTTAATAGATAGTCGGATATCTCACCAGAGATGACACAATTCGTCAAATGCCGAATGGACCTTCTGTATCCAAAATGCAACTACTGATACGCAGTGGAAAAAAAAACAGATGCAACCCAAAGCCCATCAGAATCCGTTCTACGGCAAGTAAATCTCCAAAAACCAGTGGCCTACATTTCGACAATTTTCGACAGTGGCGCTGACCCTCATAGTTTTAGCAGAATTATTTAGCTGAAGATGCGTGATGATGCACTTATGATATTTGACAAGTTGTCTTGTTACGTTGCATGACTCTTTGACCTTTCGATTTCTTGGCTCGTTTTTTTACTGAAATGTGACCTTTTTTGGACAAATGATTTGGTATTCTTCCTTGTTATCGTACTTGTGTTTTTCAAGGAGGTACATGAACCTACTGATTGGTATTTACGTCTGTCAAGATTGTATGTCCGACTTCTAAATTAGCGAGCTCTTTCCACTTTGTTATTGTGTATTATTTCAATACTTATAAGCCTATATTTATTCATTTATTCGGTTTCTTGTAATCATGTGCTTGCGCGACTAGACATTTAGAGCGATGCAGAACGGCAATCGGAAAGGTACATTATATACACATATGTTGAATCCATGTCGTTCGTCTAACCATAGCAGTTCCCTTGGTGAATCAAAATTGAAACCGTACAGTGATGAGAATCCCAAATGGTGTCGCTACTACAACACCTATAAAAGTGGTACATAAAGTTTCAGAAACCCTTAAGTTCCAGCAACACTATGTAGTGTTGGAAAACTAGCCAGCCGACATGCATTGGTGGTAATAGTCGCTTATGACATATAACAGATACTATGATGAATCTCTGCTCTCTTGTTGGTAACTGGTACAAAAGTTAGTTTTCTTGCTGCAACTTAAAACGATCATCAATACAATGCAGCATTTAACCTTATAGCTGCAAATCATAAGACTATCTCTTTTAATCTGTGTTTACTTACACCCTTTCATTATGTTCTGACATTGTCGATGCCGACTATAGGCGTGGATCTGTTGAATCATTACAAGTTACATGTAGATGCAGTTCAGCGTTGATTAATAAGTAGCAATGCAAAACTATCTATCCACGAAGTTATCTGTTGAATTCACTTCACTTTCAATTGTTGCATCCACTTTGTACCACATTTCATATGAAAGTGGGTCTACAAATGCATTATTTTCACTTATACGCGTTTCCATTCAACCATAAGCATCTGACGTTCCAGCTCATCTGGTTTTACAGACGAAATCATAGGGTTTATCTTGCTATGCTAATAGACCCATTATACAATGGATGCCTCACAGTTCTTAAGTGAAAGGAGGAATGCTCTCTGTGACAACTAACTTGTTGTCCTTCTTTGATTTTACACTCTGTGGTTTCAAGCAAGCACAACGGATTAGCGGTTGGCATTTGTGTCTGCATAACTTTCCCTATTATGTTCAAACACATTATGCATGTATTAATAGCAACTAGCTCAATTTACTTTGACCGTAACTGTACCGACTAATAAAACATGTGAAACTTAAAGTGTCTAATCCTTTTTAACTTTGGTAAAAAAATAAATCATACGAATATCTCTATTGACAACACTGTTCCAAGTGCTGCTATCAAACGGTCCAAAACATTTCTCTTACTCATGTCCGAATCTTCTGGAGGAATTGTGAAGTTCCTATCTATGAGAATAACCTCGCTATTCCTAAAAACAAAAACAAAAAAATGTTACTTCCTGCGCTTGAATCTCCACTGGAGGCTTTTAGAAATCCAAACTAATTCGCCTATAGATCCAGAAGCAGCACCTTAGATACTGCAGTTGTTTTACATCATAATATCAGTCAGTCTAGACAAGGGTGCTTAGTACGTTAGATCTGTCTTTTTAGATCATACTATGACTTTGACTCCATTCTTAGACCGCTCTCATTAAACAGGCTTATCAAAACTGACATTGGATTGCAAACTGGCTTGCTTCCTATTATTCCAAAAGAAGACAGTACACGCTATACAGAGAGAAGCGCTCTACCTCGCTACTTAGTGAAGCCGATGTGCCTAAAGGTGCTGTTCTTTGTCCTTTTCTTCTCTCTTTCTTTTTGCAGGACTTCCCAACCTCAAGTAAAGCTAACTTTGTTAAGTACGCAGATAATCTAACAGTATTCACGCCAGCCACCTCCTCTTCAGATTGTTCTCAGTTTAATGACTTCTTAACTGAAATCGGTCACTGGTTTTCCTCATATAGCTTCACACTCGATCCCTCCAGATGTCAGATGGTTAATTTTAGCTTAAGACGTGAAAACGACTCTTGTAAATTACCGCAGTCCCATGACTTGTCTTATAGATGGCTCTGTTGTAGAGAATGTGCCAAGCGTGGTCCATCTTGACTTATGCTTTCCTTCTGATCTTTCTTGGTCCCTCCATATCTTCCTGATCTCTGGGAAAATCCTTCGCTTGACCTTTTATATTCGGAAACTCAGACTTTCTGGCACATTATTACATTATTATTTTTCCCTTGGGTTCCTAGTGGAACATAGGGCTTCAGTAGCATGTCTCCAATGCACTCTCTTCTCTGCAGTCTTTTCAACCTGAGGCCACGACCGCCCGGAAGCTTTCATTTCTTCCTCATATGATCTCCATATCACCCTCAGCTCGGACGCCCAACTCTTCTTTTCCTGTGTGGGTTCCACTCGAGGCCACGGTCTGACGCGTGATGTCCCCAAATGGTCTTCTCAGTGTATCTCCAATCCATCTCTACCTCCTTCTGCATATTTATTGAGCGATAGGTTCCTCGTTGGTTGGTTTGTCACCAGCCACAATTCCTTGTTCCTTATTCTTTCTGGCCATCTGAGCTTCAGTAACGAGCGTAAGCAGTTGTTGATGACTATCTGTAATTTGTTGGAAATGCTTTTCGTGACGTACCAAGTCTCTGAACCATATAGGAGCACTGACTTGACATTGGTGTTGAAAATCCGGATCATGTTCATGCTTTATGCTGGCTGAGTGCAGAAGATCTCCACACTGGTTTCAGGCTAATGAACGCCTGTCTTGCTTTTTGGATCCTGGTTTTGACATCCTTGTCTGTGCCGCCTGTAGTCGAAACGATGTTGCCTATGTAGGTGAGTAGGCGAAAAAGGCCACTTTAAGTTTCTCCCGTTGATGGTGATTGGAGCTTGTTGTTGTTGTTGGTGGTGGTGGTATTGTTGGTTGGGTATCTCCATCACCTCTGTCTTCTCTACGTTCACTTGAAGTCCCGTCTTCGCTGCCTCTTCTGCCAACTAGTTAGTTTTTGCCTGTAGATCTTCGAGTTTGTGTGACATCAGACACAAGTCATCGTTGGCGAAATCCAGATCTTCTGGGTTCTTTTCCGCAGTCCAACGTTCCCCCCTATTCTCGCTCCTCACTGTTTGTTGCATGATGCAGTCGACCACAATCAGGAATATCATGGGGGATAGTAGGTAACCTTGTTTCACTCCTGTCTTCACTTCAAAATCATCACTGAGCTTCCCATTGTGAATTACTTGGCATGTGGCCTTTTCATATAGCTGTTGAATGAGGTTGATAAAGGTTTGTGGCACTAAAAACGTAGTGTTGAAGCATTCGCCAAATTTCTTCTCTGTCGATTCCTTCGAAAGCCTTTTCAAAGTCGATGAAGTTGAGGTAGAGGGTCAACTGCCATTCTATACTCTGTTCTATGATGATGCGTAGCATACCGTTGCAATTTGATCCGCATATGATTTGTCCTTCCTGAAGCCAGCCTGTTCCGGTCGTAGTTTTGAACCCAGCGCATCCTTTAGTCTCTCCAGGGTGATGCCATTTAATATTTTGCTTCGGGTGAACTGGAGTGGAGCATGATTCCTCGCCAGTTCTTACAAACACTCAGATCTCCCTTCTTTAGGGGTTTGACAAGGTAACCCTCCTCCCAATCGCCAGGTACCTTTCCTTCCTTCCTTCCAAACCTTCTGCAACAGTGGTGTGGGCATGTCCGCTGTTGTCTCTGCTTCTGTTTTCAGTGCTTCTGGAGGAATTCCATTTGGTCCTGCTGCTTTCCCAGATTTCAGTAACTATATGGCGTTCAGGACTTCTGCTTTTGTCGGAGGGCTTGTGTTTACTAGTAATTCTGTGACTGGGCTGTTGGTGGTATTTCTGCAAGAGTTGCAGGTGGTGGTGGTCGACTCAAGAGTTTTATGAAGTGGTCGGCCCATTGTTTCCTTTGTTCTCTTCTTTGCTAACTAGCTTTCCTTCATCATCTTTCATTGATTTCGTTTTCGTTGACCTCTTCCCAGATAGTAACCTGGTTATTTGATCAATGTTGTCAGGTCTGTGTCTCTCCTACCTGCAGCCTGATCTGCTTCACTTGCCAGTGTATCATAGAAGTGCCTTTTGTCTTTGCATGCACTCTTCACTTCTTTTTCCAGCGTTCTATGCGTTGTACTCATTTCTTCCTCCCATTGTTCATCCTTACACTAGTTTATCTTTTGCTTCACCGTCCTCCTCTCCTTTTTCAGTTTCCATGTGTCCGTCGAGATCCACTCCTTGTCTTGTTTCCCCTTCCTTCCTAATACGGTTATGCGGGTTTCTTTCCACATCCCTTTCAAAGATTTCCAGTGCTCATCCACATAGGTTTCTTCAGGAATATTGCTCGATGTCTTCGATTTTGTCTTGATGACTGCCATGAAGACGTCCCTTGTAGCTTCGTCCTTCAGTTTCTGTTCTGGGTGTTAACCTTGAACTGTGGCCTATCGGCAACTTCCTTGGAGGTTTTCAATTTGATTTCTAAGGTTCCTTGCACTAGATAGTGGTCTGAACCTACATCTGCTCCTCTTCTTGATCTTGCATCCAATAGGCTGCGCCTCCACTTTCTTGAGATTGAGACGAAGTTGATCTGATTTTAAGTGTAGTATGTCCATCTGGTGAAATCCATGTCGCTTTGTGAATATCTTTGTGTTTGTACACACTACCTCCAATCACCGAACCAATGAGTGCGCAGAAGTCTCGAAATGGTTCTCCATTCTCGTTCATTTCACCGAGCGCTTCTCGACCCATGATGAGTTCTCTTCATGTGTTTTCCGTTCTCAGTTTGGCATTCATGTCACCCCACCTACTAGAATGAATTTGATGTTGCTAACTGAGGTCTTGCTCAGTGCTGATTGCAGTTATCTGTAAAATTCCTCCTTCTTCTCTTGATCTACATTATTTGTAGGTGCATAGCATTATATGATTGTGACTTTCCTTCCTTTTTAGTTGAACCCTGCTGTCATGATTCTGGAGGAGACTGATTCCCACTGCATGAGAGAGCCTCTGATGTTCTTCGGAAAATCATGATAACCATTCCCTTCGTGTGCTCGTGGTTGTCGTCTGGGTGACAATATCGGAGTAGATTATTGACCCTGCTCTCTAGTTGACAGTTTGGAGAGTCCACTTCCATTCCACCTGCTTTCGCAGATTCCTAGCACTTCAATGATATACCTAACCACCTCTTCTGCATTCTAGGCAACCTCACTAGGTTAAAACATTGTTCGGACATTCCATATCCCTATCCTTACTCTTGCTTTCATAAAGAGAAGAGAAGACACATCGGCTGATTGGCTACCCGAAGGCTTTCACCAACCGGTGTTACTTCGCCTCTCCGATTCCAGTGAGGAATAAGTTTGTTCTTATGTTTTATATTTTGCCTATGCTTCGAAGTTTGTTTGGCGATTGGATTGGTTTTCCGGGATAGGTTTGATAGTCCTATGTCCAAGCTTCCCTCTTTATCCGGGTTTAGGACCGGCTAGTAACTAGTGAACTAGTTAACCAGGCGATGTTATTTTCTGGCACAAGTCAGCCTATACTCTTACGTTTCATTAATTCTTGTGTTTTTACTATACTGACTTATTGTTCCCCCTTAATTCTCCGTGGACTCCGGAGAAAAGATTACGTTGTATTGCGCAGGATTTTAAAGGCAATTAGTAGAGCAAGTGGCGCATATATATATATATATATATATATATATATATATATATATATATATAACTGTTGTACAATGGGCAAACTGATGCAATATCACATGCTAAGAACTTTGTATTGTAAACACAATTATGCTTCGGAATAAAGCAAATATATTATTATTATTCTGAAGTCGCTCAACTGCCTTGTACATAAGGTAACTCGGAAAAGTGTTACCCCAAGGCAGTCACCTTCGCTGTGACTTTTTATGCACCACTTCAGGTCAACTTAAGCAGCACTGAGCTTCTCTGCGTCAGTAAAACATGTATCATCTCGTACGTTGTATTTCCTTGGACGTTCTGTCATAAGCTCACAAAAATATAAGCAGTGCAACATTGTTTCTGGTGCATCTTTTCATTTTTTCAACAATTTATCAACCGTTTGTCTATCTTTTAGCGATTTGTTATCCTGGGGTTTTAATGAAAGTTGATCGGAAAAAGATATGTGACGAAACTAATCAACCTATAGATTGTGTCGTATTCACTAGTGGGTATAGGGTTTTTTTGATGTAGTTTCCAATGTTCAGGCTTAAAAAACCGCTTTAAAATTAAATTTTCGTATTCCCGAGTAAAAGGGCTATGCAACCAGCTACTTTGAACAATGCTGCGCTTACTTCTCGTTATTACCAGTCGGGCGATTCTATCCGATGAAAACTACCTGCTTATAACGGTCAACTTATCAAGTTTAATTAAACTCTATAACCACTATTGATTACTTTATTTAATATTCCAGTAGTATAAAGACATATGGCTCTCATTCATTGTTGCCATAAAGCTAAATTTGTTTCATTTTCAAGTTCTTCCTCAATACTGGGTTGGGATGTTGACGATATATTGAATAAACATATTGAAGATTTTGTTACGATTCCTGAACAGAGTATTGTGAAGCATGCATTAAAAGAAAGTAAGTCGTTATGAATGCCTATTATTCTGTGCTTGAATAAATCAATCACTGAACTCGTTTTTATATCATGTTAGTGTGAAATTGTCAGGTGGATAATATGTAGGCGACACGATACAGAAGTGTATCCATTAAACCTTTTTATTAAAACTTGGGCACTGTGGTAGAATTTAATTCCATATTAGATTTAATTATTTCATTTATAACACACAAAGATATAGTACTATTTACTAAATGACTTCGATCAATGATTTCTATTGTCACTAGGAAGTTCACATTTTCAAATCAACAGTTAAAGGCTTCATGCAGTGATGCCATGTTCTAGTCAGGCAGCCCTTAACAATTTTCTAGCCCAAACCTACTTCAGCTAACATTGTACCATGGGGCAGAGGGTGACTAGACATGCGTAACACATGTCCGGACCATCTGAGCCCATGAAGGTTCACAACCTCATCAACTAACTTATCTCTCCTACACCTGACTTCTGCATTAATCACATGGAGACACCACGACATACGATTTATGCTACGAAGGCAGTTAAACAAGTGGAACCACCTACTGTCATTCACCTGTTATGGCCATGTTTTACAGCTATATAGTAGAATAGAGTGGACTGAAGCACAGTATACTCGACCCTTAACGGGCAATCTGATATCACGGTGGCACCATAGGTGGCTCAATTTGGTGGAGGCGAAGCGAAACTTTTGTATCAGTGTAGAGATTTCGTTGGCTACTAACCAATGCACCAGAGCTGGTCCGACTTTCTAGGCAAGTGAAACGGTCAATGCGCTGAACCATTTCACTCCCTATTGTTAGACAAGGCGTCATTGAAGACCAGTGTCGGAGCAACAGCTTGTTAAGGCATTCTCAAATTACCGCTTAATGTGTCCATATGGCTCTGCATCTTGTCGGGGTTTTCACCCGATAGATCTATGTTACCTTCGTACTGTAGATCTACTAAGGAGTTTCCTGTAACACGATAAATCCCTTTTAAGTTAGACTATTAGAGCGGGTCCTCCATCAATACGTCTATGATAAGTTTAATAAAAATGGAGAGTCAAACTCGCCATACATCTGTGGATAGCTTCTAAAACAAATTTCTCTTTCGAAGAATTCCAAATATTGTTCTACTCATACTTTAAAGCCTTTAGGGAACCAATTTACTTTTCGGTCTTATCAAGTAGAAAATTATACGCAAAAATGGAAAAGTTAAGTGTTTATGACCACCTACTGCTTGTGGGGATTAATTACAAACAATGAAAGCACTGAGCCTTCAGTTACCCAGATCAAGCACAGTCTTAGATAAATAAGAAAATCAATGAAAAAAGTAATCGGTATGAAGCAAACTCAGCAAACATGTGACATATGATGACAACTCGAAAATGAAATACCACTCAGAAACCGTTTATAGGTTCAAGCATTAGGTAATGAGCCAAATCTATTGTATGAAGGCTAATGATGCTACCTGACAACGCAGACATTGGTAAATGTAGCGCGGTTAGAACCTGTGACAATCGCAGAAATTTCGACATTCGATTTTTATGGTCACCTCATGTTCTTTGTTTTTATTGGTAGTAAAAATTTCCATATCTCCCGTATAGATGCTACATCATTTGTATCATATGTGTTGCGTATTGATTCGATGAACAAAGATTCAATAATCCATCTCTCTCTCTCTCCCTTTCTTCACCTAATTAAATGTAAGTCGGACCAGCTCTGGTGCATTGGTTAGTAGCCAACGAAATCTCTACACTGATACAAAAGTTTCGCTTCGCCTCCACCAAATTGAGCCACCTATGGTGCCACCGTGATATCAGATTGCCCGTTAAGGGTCGAGTATACTGTGCTTCAGTCCACTCTATTCTACTATATAGCTGTAAAACATGGCCATAACAGGTGAATGACAGTAGGTGGTTCCACTTGTTTAACTGCCTTCGTAGCATAAATCGTATGTCGTGGTGTCTCCATGTGATTAATGCAGAAGTCAGGTGTAGGAGAGATAAGTTAGTTGATGAGGTTGTGAACCTTCATGGGCTCAGATGGTCCGGACATGTGTTACGCATGTCTAGTCACCCTCTGCCCCATGGTACAATGTTAGCTGAAGTAGGTTTGGGCTAGAAAATTGTTAAGGGCTGCCTGACTAGAACATGGCATCACTGCATGAAGCCTTTAACTGTTGATTTGAAGATGTGAACTTTCAAGTGACTATAGAAATCAATAATCTTTTGACTCTAGATGATATTGCTGAGATTGGATGGCGTTGGAGCCAATGTATCGAGTCGTCATCTTAACTGCTATACTGAATCTTAGTGTGCTCTCTCCCTCGCTCTCTTTTCACTACTTCTTATTATATTTAACTGCTTTTGTACTCATTTTTTTTGTTTTTTTCTTAGTGCATTCCTATCCGGTGCGTTTACATGAGGTTTGATAACTTAGACTGTTATGCATGAATGACATTGTCTGTCAGAGTTTGACCAACGTTTAATTTTCATCTAGATGACTACCTGAATCATGTCTGTTATAGCGATGACTGCATCAAAATGAAACTAACTTCGTGGTTTAGAAAATCGGAAGCAGTTGCACAAGTTCATCCAGGAGGCTTTCAATACTGTTGGAAAATGAAGCCACAAGAACACTGGAGCATAGTCACCCCTGGTTGAGTTGTATTTGGGAAAGTCTTAAGCGTGTGATTTATGTCGTCTAGATATATTTAAGGCATCCGCGCTGCGATAGCAACTATCTCTTATTCCAGTAGATCGCTTCATAGGTTGATCATATGCAACTTTCCTTATCAGTCACTTCGAGAGCTGCTGAACAACTGTTAGTACGAAAACCTCCCAAATGATATGATTAACACCTTTTTAAGCTTCTAAAGTTCGCGTTATGATTACTGAATAATTGTCTCCCTGGTATTGAAATATATGTTGGACATCAGAACTCTTCACTTGGTGCTTCTAATGCATGAGAACAATCTTATGAAGATAGTTATCGAACAGACAGACTCGGTGTTGATCTGTTGGTGTGATCGTAAACTTTCTTTTGCTCAGATTACTCAAACATATAATACGCTTGCTCGGTCATTGTCTGTTTCGGTGGGCAATGCTATTTGGAGTAGGGTTTTTTCTAAATAAAAGATTTATAGCGACTACATTGAAACGTGTCATCAGTCAATTAAGTTTCTGACTCTTGATTATGACCTGTATTAGGAATTGTAGACTTCCCGGTTGGAATCCGTGTGTCAACTGAAATTGGTTGGTATTTGGAAACTTTAGGTGATAATTTTCAGAGTTGATCTCAACAACATGAATGCATTCACAAAGTATCTTTCGTTATTGTTTTGTCCCGTCTTCTCTTCTTATCACTGTACAACTTTCGATTACCTTCTCCTTTCTCACTTCTACCTTTGGATAATAATCTCCAATCTACTAAGTGCTTTTTAAGTAAGTCTATGTATTTTCTCACATTAAGACTGTATTGTCTATACACTGAAGAACAAATGGTCTTTTACTGGTAGTAAATCTACATTATGATCACGCACTTCCTTGATGATGTCATCAGTGCTGAGAACAAAATAAACAACGAAATCAAGCAGCCTTGCCAAACCCTACTATTGATTTCATACATTGAATAAAGGCAGCTATTTATTTTCTATATGGGCTACTTTTTAGTATAAAGTGACAAACTTAAATAACACACGTGACTTCGAAATAGCTAAGTCACGGTTCACCATAGGAAACAAATTTATAAAATCAGCTACTCTTTAGTCAACAAAGAAAGCATGGTTATAATAGTAGTTAGAATAGTTACACAGAACTTAATGAAATAAAATTGAAAGTAGAACAGTGACAACAATGAAAATCAGTAGGTATACGTGGTTTGATATGCGTGATTGACATTAGTCACTTTATTTAAACGATATAGTATGGAATGTTATATCTTATATATGAGGAAGGCAATGTTGTTTATATGGTTTCAGTGAAGCAGATGGTTTTCTCATTGGAGAACAACATCATCTTAATTCATTGATTCCGAATGAAATATTTAAGTTAAAGGTGTAACATCAAGAATTGCATACTTATGATTTGAGGTGGTCATATTATCTGCATAATCCACTGACTCCTGTAGGATCGTGGAGCCGATATACACTCCTGGCTCAAAAAAAGGATTTCCAAGTTTGCATAAACAATATCATCGTTTAAGCGCTAGTCTTCTGCATTTATCATAAAAATACTCTATGTAAAAATTATGAACATGACTTCCATAGTAGAAACTACAAACACACTTTTATTTGAAAGCATTTCTTAGGGAAAATTGTAAACTATCTTCCCTAATTTCATGCCAAGACTAATGTATCACTACCCAACTGGAAGGTACTACACCGCATAAAAAGCCAACTAAAATCCACTCTCCAGCTATTCTAACGAACGCATAAAAGAAAGTAACAGCTTCTCATAGTCCTCTAAGGAGAAAAGTAACTCCCAATTCTTTCATATATGTACTATCAGTTCGACTGTCTGAGATAGCCGTGGTTTGGCAAACTTGTATTGACACTGGATAACGATTGAAGGTGAAATGAGAATTTGGGCTGCAGCAGGATTCGAACCAGGAACTTTCAGGTTTCTGGCCCAGTGTTCTAATAACTGATCTACGAGACCCGACTGCTATGTGAGTTCATGATCCATTGCTATCTCTTGATCGTGCTCACAACAGCTGCCCAATCAGGACTTCTCATCCCAGTCGAAATAGAGACAAATTAGATAGATAGAGAGAGAGAGAGATTCTAAGGGCCACCCTAGCAACCAATGGAGCGACTATTCACATTTCTCTTTTCTATGAAAAATTGTCTTCCCAACCAAAATACCCCACCCTGATTGGTTATTTTACCAGTTGTTACGATGACCCTGAAAGTCGCCCATTAGAGGAGGGAACATCATACTGATTATCAATTTGACTATCTGAGATAGCTCTGTGGTTTAGCAGACGCATGCTTTGACTTTGTACAAAACGTAAAACTTTGATAGATTGATAGTTACGATAGTCAATCAAAGAAAAAAGTTGACATGAATGTAGCCAAATACGAACCACAGCAAAACGCGGTCCATAGATGTTTTTTTTTAAAATTCACAAATGTAAACTCTTTTAAAATTTCATTTACTGGCTTTTTAATGAAAACCCTGACAGTTTAAGAATTGGAAAGTGGTGGAGCATTTCAACTGTAAGATAAAATGACGTTATGATTTCAACATTTTATAATCACCTTTTTCTTGTTTTCAGCCAGTAGCAATGGTTCATTTAAGATTTTTATCAATTGGTTGGATCGTGAAAAAACCAGTCCAGTCTACTTAAAAGCTTTATTTACAGCTATTCAATTGAACAATTGTTTATATTGTATTGTATGCAAATTGTATCCATCAACTGAGTGAGTTATTGTTTGCATTTTAATTGTGTTCTATAAGTTTTTATTTATCAGATAAATACAATAAACTACTTTTCTGACATTAATGATAGATAATTGCTAATAGTGGAATACATGACATGGGTTTCGTCCTGTATGGGACTCATCGACTAGATGTACCTACTTTACTCTCTTCTCTTTTAGTATATGTGTATTTCTGGAGAATATAAATTCCATATTAGATATACAGTGTTATTTACTGGACAAAACAAATAAAATTATCAGCACTGATGCAAAAAAATGTGGCTTAGCAACTGTATGCTATGTCCTGCATTGTGAAAAGTGATCCAAATCTATTGTATGAGGCTGACTGGTACTATTTATTTACCCAGATTTCATTAGATGTAGCGGAGTTCAAATCTATGACCCATTGGTAAAATATCTAATGTTTGGACCAATGAGCTAGATTTTGATTACTTTTAAATTAGAGTCTAATTGAGTTACACGTTTTTCCAACTGGTTGGAAATAAACAATATTAGATCCGCTTGAATTCATAGTCCTGAGGTTAGTACTTGTAGTAGTTAGAAATTGTTTTTGTTACTGACCAACTTACCAATGATTATGCTCAGTAAGTTATTAAAAAGAAAAGAGTTCCACAAATAAACTTATTTTCGACGATTTCATACTCAAACTTTGTAATAGTGTCTACATTCACTGGCAAAGAATGTTAACATGGTTTAAGGCTCTTTATGTTCACTAAAATGGTATGGAAATGAATCATTTGATAGTGTGGATATGCACTTAATAGAACAAACAGCACTAAGCAAAGTTTGATTGTTACTGAGGAAGGTAATAGCATTCGAAATTTCGTGCTGGTATTCATCACAAACTGATATCGGTTGAAGAACAATTTAAAACTTGGGAGCTGTTTCGGGACTCCTCAGAAGTTCCCACCCACGATCCCACCAGGGAGCGAATCCAGGATTTCCAGGTTCGCCAATCAGCATGTTACCATTGAGCCACTGACTTGAAATCCAATGGTCCACAACTTTTTACTTCTGTTAATTCGCGATATAGCATGACCTTCATTCAGTGTAGTCATTGAGTAATTGTCCTCACTTCATAATTAGTTTCCCCACTGGTCATGACTTCTCATTAGGATCAACTTAAAATCAATGAGCAAATCCCCACAAACCTCCAAATTGAGTGTTTTTAAATAACAATGAATTGCATTGTCTCAATTGGAAAAAAAGATTATCTGGTTAATTTTGAGAATGGAAATGTTAAAAAGTGAAGGGGAGTTTGTTTTTAGAATTTCTAAAACTTCAGCAATCCAAAGTAGACCTTTTACTTCAAATGAATCTTCTATCAACGGGATAGCGTAATGTATCTGGAGTGGAATCCGGGAGGCAGGTACATCTGACTGATGAGTCAAAAATAGGACGAAACGTGCGTCCTAAATTCTATTGCTGGCCACTATCCATCATTACTATCGAATTGAAATCAAAAATGACATTGAGGGGTATGAGAAGAAGGTCATATGCCAGTAGGGATTGGTGAATTTGGTTCAGTTAACCACGAGAAATTACAAGTAATAACATATCTGCATTCACCTTTATTTGATCATCTGGAGTGTTGGATAGTCTCTCTCTTGATTTGGCCTATGTACTTCTTGATTCATCAGGAATATCCTAAATGATATATACATATCATTTACAAACTATTTGAACAGAGCTCGAGCAATTCGACCCTGTTTAGCAATAGGGAATTACGACAACTGACATACGTTGCACAAGAGGTGGCTATCATGCCCTCGGTGGCTTAGTGGATAAAGAAAGCTCTTAGGTTTGAAGCTAAGGGTACTGGGTTCGAGACTTGGTGAGGACAACATCACTCACTGAGGATCACGTACATCCTGCTGACGAGTTCGAAATAGGACGTAACGCGCTTTTGAGATCCCTCTATTAGTCATCAAGATCAATATGACTTCATGAATATCTGGCAGTATCGTATCGAGGCATCCACATAGGAGCTTATCTGCCAACAGAGGTCAAGCAATTCAGCCCTATACAGCAACGAGAAATTACAAGTATCATTACAATAACATATTGTTTAATTGTTCAACTTTTAAGAATGTAATCACCGAAAACTATTTTGTTCACTGAACGCTTTTAAAAAGAAAACTATAATATTGATATACATACTTCATGCATTCGCATTTAATCGGTTTAATGAGACCAATGGCTAACACATAAGCTACAGTTAGCTAAAGGTGAAAATAATGATTTCCAAAATGCTTGAAAGTCAACTTATTTTACCCTGTCCAACGAAATTATACCAAAAACACAAGTAAAGAAATTGTGCTAAGAAATAATATTTACTTATATGTGGCATTATCAAAGAAAACTGATTGAATGTTGCTTACAAACGAATATACACTAGATTTCTTGTATTAACAAGAGCCTGCCACCATCACATACTGCTTGTATGAACCTCGCCTAGGTAACTAGTTACTAGCTGGTCCTAAACCCGGATAAAGAGGGAAGCTTGGACATAGGGCTACCAACCCTATCCCGGAAAACCAATCCAATCGCTAGACAAACTTCAAAGCACAGGCAAAATATAAAACATAAGAACAAACTTATTCCTCACTGGAATCGGGGAAATGAAATAACGCCGGTTGGTGAAAGCCTTCGGGTAGCCAATCAGCCGATGTGTCTTCTCTTCTCTTTATGAAAGCAAAAGTAAGGATGGGGATATGGAATGTCCGAACAATGTTTGAACCTAGTGAGGCTGTCGAGAATGCAAAAGAGATGATTAGGTATATCACTGAAGTGCTAGGAATCTGCGAAAGCAGGTGGAATGGAAGTGGACTCTCCAAACTGTCAACTAGAGAGCAGAGTCAATAATCTACTCTGATATTGTCACCCAGACGACAACCATGAGCACATTGAGTTTTGGAGTGGCTATTATGATGTCGCCGAGAGCATCGAAGGCTCTCATGCAGTAGGAACCAATCTCCTCCTGTAAGATCATGACAGCATGATGGAGTCAACTCAAAAGGAAGGAAAGTCACAATCACACTATATCAAATAACCAGGTTACTATCTGGGAAGAGATCAACGCAGATAAAACCAATGAAAGATAGTGGAGGAAACCTAGTTACCAGAGAGGAGAAACAAAGGAAACAATGGGCCGACCACTTCAGAAAACTCTTGAGTCGACCACCACCACCTGCGACTCTTGCAGAAATACCGCCAACAGCCCAGTCACAGAATTACCAGTAAACACAAGCCCTCCGACAAAAGCAGAAGTCCTGAACGCCATATAGTTACTGAAATCTGGGAAAGCGGCAGGACCAAATGGAATTCCTCTAGAAGCACTGAAAATAGAAGCAGAGACAACAGCGGACATGCTCACACCACTGTTGCAGAAGGTTTGGAAGGAAGGAAGGAAAGGTACCTGGCGATTGGGAGGAGGGTTACCTTGTCAAACCCCTAAAGAAGGGAGATCTGAGTGTTTGTAAGAACTGGCGAGGAATCATGCTCCACTCCAGTTCACCACAAGCAAAATATTAAGCGGTATCACCCTGGAGAGACTAAAGGATGCACTGGATTCAAAATTACGACCGGAACAGGCTGGCTTCAGGAAGGACAAATCATATGCGGATCAAATTGCAACGGTATGCTACGCATCATCATAGAACAGAGTATAGAATAGCAGTCAGCTGTTTACATCAACTTCATCGACTTTGAAGAGGTCTTTGACAGCGTCGACTGAGAGGTAATTTGGAAACTGCTTCCATACTATACTACGGAATACCACAAACCTTTATCAACCTCATTCAACAGCTATATGAAAAGGCCACATGCCAAGTGATTCACAATGAAAAACTCAGTGAAGACAGGAGTAAGACAAGGCTACCTTTTATCACCCATTATCTTCCTGACTGTGGTGGACTGGATCTTGCAGCAAACCGTGAGATGAGCATACGCTGAACCGATGAAAACGGCCTAGAAGATTTAGATTTCGCTGATGATTTATGTCGAATGTCTTGTCTCACAAGCTCAAAGATTTTCAGGCAAAAAGCAACAAGTTGACAGAAGAGGCAGCGAGGATGGGACTTCAGGTGAACTTAGAGAAGACAGGTGATGAAGATACCCAGCCAACAACAGCATCAACAACAAGAACCAATCACCATTAACGGAAGAAACCTAAGGGAAGTAATCTCTTTCACCTACCTAGGCAACATCGTTTCAACGACAGGTGGCGGTACAAATGAGGACGTCAATGCCAGGATCGGAAATACAGCAGGACAGGCCTTCATTAATCTGAAACCAGTATGGAGATCTACTGCACTCTACTCAGCATAAAGCGTGAACATGATCCGGATTTTCAACAGTGATGTCATTCAAGTAAGTCAGTGCTTCTATGTGATGGTTGAGAGACTTGGCGTGTCACGAAAAGCCTTTCCAACAAACTACAGACATACATCATCAACAGCTGCCACCTACGCTCACTCGATACTGAAGGTGAGATGACCAGAATAATAAGAATAAGCAACAAGGAACTCACTGTGGCTGTTTACGAACCAACCAACAACCTATCGCCCAACAGATATGCATAAGAAAGTGGAGACGGATTGGATTGGGCATGGACTGAGAAAACCATTCGGAGACATCACGCGTCAGGCCAGGCTCTCGAATCCAAATGGGAAATGATGAGTTGGGCGTCCGAAGTGAGGGTGAAATGGAGGAGATGATGTGAAGAAGAAATGAAAGCTTGTAGGGATTGGTGGAGCCAGGTTGAAAAGACTGCAGTGAAGACAGTGCAATGGAGACGTACTACTGAAGCGGTATGTTTCACTAGGAACCCAAGGGACAAATAATAATCATAATACATGAACTAGTGCTATTGTAGCTTATCTGAAATCACGCACGGACATCTGTTGGAGAACCGCTGAAAACCTTGGAGTACTGGACAGCTGTTTTGTTCTACTACAGATGCGTTCTGCTGAGGGGTCCTATACTAGGATGAAACACTTATCCATAGCTCCCAAGTTTTTAATAGTTCTCCAGCTGATGTCTGTCCGTGATAAACATCAAATTGAAGTTAACAGAATACCTACAAGCTTTCATATTGAAAGAGAGAATCTATTTTTCCTTCTTCAATCTTTCCCCTTTGCTAACTCGATCAAATATTCATACTGAAACTCATCTATCCATTACACTTTCTCTGTGCGACGATTCTGTCAACATTTCATATTATATCACCTCTCTTTTGCTCTCCTACTCAGTATTTCAACGAAATTGGTCTTTGAATAATGATCAACAGGATTTCTCTATATTTTATATTAGACTTGTCGTTTTTTTTAAAGCATAGCATAGTGTGGTATGCTAGCGTTTACTGCATAACGTTTCTCGCAAAATGTGTCCTTATATTCATATTTTGACATCTTATACTTTTCTCAACATCTGCAGTCACACTTTATCTTCATGAATATTCTTTGCATTATCACCCACTCTGTAACAACAATACATGCTGACTACCAGAGTGGAAATATAGTAGTGATAGACAGATTTAAATAAATTATCTTCTTTTTGTATAGGTCTACACTGTTGTCTCAATGCAAATTGGAACCAGAGTCTCCAATTTCGAAACATTCAAATTGTTCAAGGCTGGAAATATCGGATAGCCAAAACATTTTACCGTTTGATTGGAATAATAATCTATGCAATAATTACTCCACAGCCAACACAAAACCGAATGATTTTACAATTGAATCTTATCCCAGTACTACTAATAGATCAGTTTGCAGATCTGATCCCCTAACCACTGATATCAATGATAACTACGATACACTATCGAATCCTAGTGTAGAAAAACATTTTCACCCTGTAAGCACATCCTATGAACCTATACAGGTAATGAGAGTTTCTTTAATTTTGTACAAGTGTATTGTATATATTTAGGCTTTTATGTGCAATACAAAAATGTACCTTGAGATGATTGGTCATATCATATGCTAATTTGAAGTGTTAATGTAAATAAACTTATTGAAAAGATGGAAATAAATCGCAGTTCAGGATGAGGATGACGGTGATTTTGCGTTCTCTAAGCTTTAATATTTCATCGTGGATATTTCATCATCAAACGTGATGACATCTTCAGCATTAAATTCACCAAGAAGTGAAGCATATTCGAATGGTTATAATGTTTTGTTGACCTTGGGTGTTGTCCAATCGCAAGTTGGAGTAGAGATTTTTATCACATTCGACCTTGTTCAAAGAGGTCGAGGTGTCAAAAATGTCTTCCCCAACTTATAATTGGACAGCGCTCAAGGTCAACCAAGACATTATAAAGATTTGAATATGCTTCACTTCTTGCTGAAGATGTCAGCAAGCCTGATGATGAAACGTTCACAATAAAATATCAAGACTCAGGGAACACCAAAGAACTATCAAATATACCTCATATTGACCAAGCTCCTTTTTATTTATTTATCTAACAGGGAAAAGATAAACTCAGTATAACAGTTGCAAATGAAGTCTACACCAACAGTAAAGATTCTGAGGCACATCAACGTCCTATTTTCTCTGTTGACACAGATGACGCAATTCCTGAGGAAAATAATGATGAAACAGTTGACTGCAAATATCCATCTACCAATGGTATGTTCAATCTGATTCTTCTTATTCGCATTTTTGAAATGAAATCAACCTTTGATAGCCAACAAGTGCCATCCTTCAGATTAAGTGAGATAAAAAGTGATACAGTTATACACCTCGAAGGAGTATAATAAGAAATTTTATGTCGTTCAGTGACCAACAGCTTGAATCACTCATGTTTAAAATCAGTCTATCGTTTAATGAAAGCGCTTGACCTATCCATCTACATGTAAAACAGTGCCTTGATTCAATTTTATACGATAGGATGAATTGGTCTGTAATAGTTACATTCATCCCTAGTTTACTGTCTTAGGACATTTCAGTCTTTCGTCCTAGTATTAGGCTCTCCTCAGCAGTGCGCATCGATGACCCCGCCAGGGATCAAATCCATAACCTTGAAGTTCTGCAGCCAGCACATTTCTGTTGTGCTACTGGGTCGGAATCCAAAAGTCCATATTTCCTACTTCTGTCAATTAACTATATAGTGCGACTTTCATCCAATGCCGTTGTTGATTAGGGGGAATATGGACCATTGTATTCTGACCCAGTGGCTCATGCCAACGTGCTGGCCGTGGAGCCTGAAGGTCCTGGGTCTGTTCCCGAGCAAGGTCATGGGTACGCGCTACTGAGGATTTCCGTAATAGGACGAAACAGCTGTCCAGTGTTCTTAAGTTTCCAATGTTCTTCCAGGTAATGTCAGTCCATGATGAATATCAACCTGAAATCAATAAATAAATCCCAAAAATTGAATTATATTTCAGCATCTTAGTTTATACAGATTTCATTGGTTCTCCTTGGAATGACTTCAGCTTAGATTAACATCTTCATCACCTCTACTTATGCTCCAACTGACCGCAGCTGAAATGTAGTTAATGAGTTACACCATGATAAAAACACAAGGAAGACAGATCAAATTGTTCATTAGGAAACTACATTGTCTTACCAAAATATGAATACCTAACATAAAGTATATTTTCAGACAAGTTGGTCTTCAGTTTCTGTTGCTTCTTCATTTGTCTTCTAAGTTCCCTTTTATACCTCTTGCTTCTTACTTCACAACGTCTACTGATTAGATGATAGCTTTAATTTCTGTAAGTAGCACACACTGTACTCTGATCTGATCTTTTCACAGCTGCCTTTTGTGTTTGTGCCTCTAGCTCGACTTCTTGTTACAACTAGATGCATTTCTGAAGTTGATTTACATTCATTCATTTTTGTTTGTCACCTTTCCGGATCATGTAAACTTCACTACGCCTGTCGGTGACGATTTATGGTTTTTTCACGTCGTAAGCAGCCTTACTGATCGTGGTGCATCTCCTATGATGTACTTTCATTACAATTCACTTAATTTTCCAATTCAAGCAGTTTCCATTTCTCACCTTCTCTGTTGTTGCGGAAACGTCTCGTTGTGTACTGATAGTTATAGTTGTGCGTTGTATGTAGGCAAATGTCCCAGTAAGATTGATAGGAGTTCCGTCTCTCAATTATCCCCCTTCGAGCCCAGCCAATCATTGAGTAGATAGTTGTTACTTTCTACCAATTGTTATTTAAAGCGCAAGCTTGGTACAACATGGGCACCAAAAGACGGAATATTAACAAGAACAAAACGGAAGAGAATTGGGTTATGAGAGAATCAGTTTCAACAATACTTCAAAATAAGCATTCATGACTTTCTTTTCACCTTTCGGTAGTAAAAGAAAGGACAAATTACAGCATGATCACCACTGATTTCGATTTTGGGCGATATCTGCTATCGTCTCTGAGTTGCGTGATCTTGTGGACACCATCTGGTGACACCTAAAGATGCCAATCTATCACAAGTATCTTTTGGCACACCACATCACGTCATAGTTCGATCATCTTTCTGCTTCTTTTTACCAGTTTCAAGGCAGTCGAATGTGGACCCCTTGGAATGACATGCGAAATAAAAGTTTGAGACACCAACGCTGGTCTTTCAGGTTAAGTTCGCTCAGTGAATGACGATCTCTATTACACCTAAACACATGCCATGTTATTTCAGAATTACTTAGGTAGTTTCTCCATGGGATGCTAGGAATCCTTACAACTTATCTTTGGCACTTTATAGGGATGAAGTTGAGACTGTGGTTGGATTGCTTAAAAAGGTATGTCAGACTAAAAGCGTTCCATCGCTCTTTAGTGGGGTCATTGTTGCTTTCATCTTTAAAACTGGTCGCTGTAGTGCTTGTAACAACCAATGAAATGTCAGTCTGCTTTCAGTTGTCTTAATAATTTATTTCTGTCATACGTTTTGGTCTTTGCAAACGCATGGAAAACCGATTCACTCGTAGCACATAAGGTTTTATTCAGGGAATGGATGTGCCTACCATGTGTCCACTTTATGCCAGATGCTGGGACACAACCATACATATTTTAGGCGGAAAATTGTTATATTTCCCTAAAAATTTGTGTATCTAGGTAGTTTCGAGCGCTGACAGAGATGTAGCTAATAAGGTTTCTAACCATGTATTGGAAGTCAACAGTATCTTTGTAACTTTTGCCTAATTGTAGAAGATCAAGTGTACAGGATGTCGATGCGGATAGTTGTGGTCTATCCCTGTGAAACCTGGGGATTTCCGACTACTCTGCATATTCCACCACTTTTGTCTCCGTAGAATTGCTAGCATCTGGTGGAAATATGTGAGCAGTTCTGAAGTGAAGTAATGGGAGTATGCGCATGATATAATAGTGGTCATTTACTGAGTGAAGTCACCTTGTAAAACCATCTTCCATGACTTGTGTACATTTGTGACGAATGTCATCTCAGATGCTTCCAAACCGCTAACTGTTCGGTCACCCTTGAACTGGTAGGAAGCAATCGAGAGAGATGGTCAGTATATGACTTTACACAATACGATAAAGGATAGTTTTGTTGTTTCCTCACGACTCGCTGAATAAAGTCTCTTAGAGGTGACACAACTCAGTGGCTTGAGGCGATAACAAGTGTAGCTGATAATCAAGACCAGTAGCGATCATATTGCAGCTTTCTTGTAATAGGCTTTTATAACTCTAATCTTATAAAGTGGTTATTTTTTTGTCTTATATAGGGGCAACCGATTTGGTGTGTAATAATCCTGATGGAGAAGACTGGCGTCAACTTCCTGTGAATACTAGTTTTACCAATATGCTTTCTGAAGGCGATTTACCAGAACTGTTCAATCCTGATTATATAGAAGATCTCATCAAAGAAGATATAACTGACTTATGATCTCTTACTCTCTTTCACTTCAAAGTATATTCACATGTTTATTTAGCTATGAAGAATGTGCAATCATTTTACCCTTGAAATTAATCTAGATAATAATACTATTTTCGGAGCAATAAAAAAATATAAATTAGAGTATCACTTAGTAATCTTAACTGCCTTTGTCATATTTTCCAAATGTTAACTACTTTACAAATTTGTTTATCATAATAATTTATTTCTGTACAACTTACTTTCTGAAACTTTGGTTGTCTTATATCTCCAGCTATGTACAATAACAACAAACGGATACGTCAGCTAGAGAGGGGGAGCATCATATTGATTATCATTTTGACTATCTAAGTGAGATAGCCGTGGTTTGGCAGACTAGTATTAATACTGGGATGGGAAGTCGTGACTAGGCAGCCAGTGTGTAACTACGATCGAGCTATAGTAACGCTTCATAAATTCACCTGGTAATCGGCAAAACCCTTTTCGATCGAAATGAAATTTAAAGTCTGATCAGCAATCGGACCTCAGAGCTCAGTTGGTAGAGCGTCGGACCGGAAACTCGGTGCTGGCTGGTTCGAATCTGGCCGCGGTCCAAATTTCTATTTCCCCTTCAATTATCATCCAGTATAGATACGTCAACGTAGAATATCGCACAAAAGTAACCACATTTGATAAAGACACAAAAAAAGTGTATCGAAAAGAAATGAAGTTACACTCGACAGAAGTGGATTAGAGGAGAGAAAAAATAAATTAGCTGAGGTTAATGAAAATGTCTAAGATTTCGAGAATGACAAAGAGTATGGGCATCTGTGTCAGGGTTGTCGATCTCTAGCCGTATTATCCAGAGTCTCAAACTATTAGTTCTTATGGTCTTGAGGATTTCAGCCTGGCAGTGTACATGGTTGAGACCAATAAAGACTTCATGTCTTGGCCCAGCCCCCCTTAAACTTTTAACCCAAATCCTACTTTAATAAGCATCGCACCTCGGGAAAGTCAATGATTTGGGATATGCAACGCAAGCTTACACCATCTCAGCAGCAGAAGTCTTAAAACTTTATCGACTAAATTTCCTTTTGTAGTACTCTACATCTTTCTTCGACATCGATCAAATATCTTCTTTAAAGAGTCACATTTCACTGAGGTACAATAGGACAGATCAAACTGCTATGCATTAGATTAGTTCTTTTGACTGGTAGACTCTTGCCTCACTAGTGTCAGAGATGGCATGGGATGGCAGATACAAAACAGACTTTATGTATCCGAGCTGAGATTTCGTCACTAATGAGTCTCTCAGTAGCGATGTTGTCTTACCAGTGGTAACATTAGGAAAGTATGTGCTCGGAGCTGTGTTCTTACTGAAATCTCAGCACTACATTTCTTTTAAATCCACTGTAAGAGCTAACAATTAAATTAGTTTTTTGACTCCAAAATAGTAAGGCCTATCAAAAACGGAGATGAATCTGTACGCAGAAGTTTTATCAATAGAACTAGAGATATTTTAGTGTTCACAAAATTAGAAAATAAATACATCTGCGTAAAGCTAATCAATTGAAAACAATTTCAACGGCTGCAGATTAATACATAAAAAATTAACCAGGATACCTGGCTCACAAAATGGCAATCAGAGATTTAAAGATTTTCTACTATGTATCGATCTGACCATCTTAGAAGTTTTTCATTATGATTTCGACATTGGACTTTTATATAGTTTTCACTGGATATTTGACTAGACTAGTCACTGTCAGTTGGGTCCTATAACTCTGCGTGTATACTGTTTTATGATCAAACGGCGAAGTTATGATTTGCTGTGTAGACAACTCTAATACAAACCAAGATGTAGTGGCCCACTATATGTAGTGTCTAATTGTATTGTCCGGTAAGGGTCGGCAGCATAGCCTGAGTTTCAGTATCTCTAGTGCTCATCCTCAAATTTTAATAAAATGATGCTCTCTTAGATATCCGAACCTGCATACCGTGACATCGCAGTCTAAGATGCTATCACTAAACATTCCAGACTAAGATGTTATGTTATTGTACTGTGAATAGTTAGCGGATTTAGTAATAACACCTGGAAAAACTTTTCATTTATTTATTTCTAGGTCTTGAACATGGTGAAATAATTTTAAAGATTTGTAGCTTAGCATGAGGGTGATGGTGATTGGATGTTCTCTGAGCTTCCTTATTTTATCGTGGATGTTTGATCACCAGGATCGGTGACCTGCTCATTACTAACTTCATAAAGAAGTGAAGCATATTGGAATGCTCTGGTGGTGTTGTTTTCGACCCTGGATGTCGTTCAGTTGTAATTTGGAGAAGAGATTTCCATCAAACCTTGACCTCGTTTACCTTAAATTCCCTTCTATCAAAATGGTAGAAATTCGTTGTTAGAGTGGAATTGTGCAATTTGTTACTGTCACATCTCGTATCATTATTGATGTCCTTGATCAATTTACTTTTAATAGATGGCTGTTTTTCTTCCCAAGTGGATAGGATGTATATCCACATGTCTTTTAATTGACTTTTCGTTGGAATGCCATGCTTCTAGGGATTTCTTTGCAGCTTATAAACCTGCTGTTTGGAGGATTTCTACATTTTTCCAGTCAAACTTGTGATTGCGACTGTCTGCGTGCGTTTAAGCCAATAAGGCAGCGTTATGTCGCTTTACTGCTAGTTGGTGTCCATAAATTCTTTGAGCAATCCGATGGCTAGACTGGCCAAGGTAGTGTTATGAACAATCTTTGCAATTGATTTTGTGGATTATATTTGTTTTCAAGTTGATATATATATCACAGACTAAAGTCAGTTGCAAGAATATTGGAAACTTGGGAGCACTGAATAGCTGTCCCGTCCTACCATGGAACTCAGCAGTGCGCGCCCATGACCCCACCGGGGATCGAACCCGGGACATTCAGGTTCCGTGACCAGCACGTTACCATTGAGCCACTGGGTTGGAATCCAATGGTCCATATTTCCAACGTCTGTCAGTTCACGATACACCACCTTGAAATCGCTAAATCCCCACAAACCTTCAAATTAGGTTGATCTAGTGCTCATTGGTGACTAGCTTCGAGAAGTGATTCCTGAAGTTCCAATGAGAAGCCGTGGCCGGTGAGACAAACCTGGTGACCATGAGGACGAATATCCAATGCTGACTTTGGTTGGTGGTCGCACTACGTAGTGAACTGATAGAAGTTGGAAATATGAACTGCTGTGTCCCGACCCAGTGGCTCAATGGTAACGTGCTGACCATGGGGCCTGAAGGTCCTAGGTTCGATTCCTGACGAGGTCATGGGTTCACACTGCTGAGCAGTCCCATACTAGTGGGATGAAACAGTTGTTCAGTGCTCCCAGGTTTACAGTGCTCCTCCAACTGATATCAGTCCATGATGAATACCAACTTGAAACCACTAAACCCCCAAACTAGGTTATACTCATCCTGTTTTCCTTTGACAACGGGTCCTTTGATTTACAAAACATGCTGTTTATTGATTTCGTTGCTTTATGTGCTACTCCGATTCTGAATGGATAGAGGAATCGGTTGACAGTTCGTGAATGATTTTTAATGTAGAGTAGCGTAATGCACCTATTGATTTAAGGTAGATGCCTTGTTGTCTGTCCTGCTGATAAACACTTTTTGATAATACTGTTGAGGGGATTATTATTGACTTCGAACACTTTAGGCAGGTATTTTGCTTCGGCTTTCCATAGTGCTTCAGTGTATTTTGGCTCCTGAGAATGGTGCTTGTACACATCATTTCCTATGGACTGTAACGATGTTTGCTGTTGTAGTTCAAAATTTAATGTGTGTGTGTGGCTTTTCCATACTCTTGAGTTCGTAAAGTCCCATCCTATGTTCTGCTAATGAGGACACCTGAAAATTGAATTATTTCATTAGATTCCTCATTCTTTGTGAAGTGAACTCTTTGAAATGTTTGGTCAATTAGTTTGAAGGTATTTTCTCTTGAATCTTTTTTGTTAAGAAAGAGCAAATTGATCAAGGACATCAATAATGATACGAGATGTGACAGTAACAAATAACACAATTCCACTCTAACAACGAATTTCTACCAATTTGATAGAAGGGAATTTAAGGTAAACGAGGTCAAGGTTTGATGGAAATCTCTTCGCCAAATTACAACTGAACGACATCCAGGGTCGAAAACAACACCACCAGAGCATTCTAATATGCTTCACTTCTTCATGAAGTTAGTGATGAGCAGGTCACCGATCCTGGTGATCAAACATCCACGATAAAATAAGGAAGCTCAGAGAACATCCAATCACCATAATTTTGAACATAGTTTTGAATTCGGAAAAGTTTGCCCTTTTCAACACAATATCTTAACCGCTGTATGGCTTTTCCTTACTTTCTTGTTAAGTGTGTCAAATTGAACTGATGAACTTTTGCGTAAGGTTATGTTTCGATGTCTAGGTATCTATCGGAATACATACTATCGATTCGAATCTAGTTTAGAACTGTTTCACATTGGAGTGGTATGTTAGAAACTAGTAGTGATTTTGTTTTTTTGTCGATACTTTTTCATAAAACAAAAAGAGTTCATTTCTACTGAATACTGATGAGCATAATCTAGTTGCCAACACCTACTGCTGCAGGTAACGTTTTCATAAAACTAAACACATTGATTAATTGACTAATGGGGGGGGGACAAATACAACAATGAACATAATAGGGGATTAAAATTAAGAAAGATGAGAACAGGAACAGTGAAATAGTTGGTCCTAATCTTGGTAAGAAAATAAAGTTCACCAAGGTGGGTGTAGTGTAAGAACAAACTGCTTTTGTACACATAAAGATGGTTTCAATTCGTGTATGGCTATGGCCTCTGCAAATTTCAGTATATATCCCTGATTGACTGTTTCTACATAAAACTTTGAACATTAATTTCGTGACCTGTTTCTATGGTATGTTTAGTGATAGATGAAGAGGATCGTCTCCCACCAGCTTTTATCACGGTTTCACACTCAATTTGTTTTTCGAAGCCATTTAGTTACATGTTTCATCACATTGATTAACTGCATCACTCGAATGAGAATCCATCCAAGTAATACTTCGTATATCTTGGTTTACTGAACTGATAGTTTTAGTTACTTCTTGGGACTACTTTTATTGAAATTATCTTTCCTCGATTGGCATCAATCAGCATGTCCTAATATGATAGTCTGACAAGCTGTTATCATTATTTGAAAGTCAAATGGTCAATAGTCGGTATTTTTGTGATTATTTATCCAAGAAGTATAATGCTGGAACACGCTATATGAATGAAAACACATTTTTGAAGCATACATAAAAATTGAACCAACTTTTTGAAGACAACGACTAAACGGTTGCCAGAATGAGGAAGTCACTAACTTACGAACTGATAATACATATGAATACCAAAACCCCCGTCGATGAAAGTGAAGCGTAGAAAAGTTTGCAGTGCAGACTATCTCAGCCGTTTTACAGTAGTTGCGGATGTCTGTGACTAGAGAAAGATATTGAGTCACGACTAATCGTTGTCATAAGTTTTTTTTTTTTGGGGGGGGGGGTTCTCTGATAACGGTAGTGATATATGTGAGAAATATGTATAGCTCGAAGTTGCATATCTACTACGATGTACTTGACAACCTCATGAGCAGTTAAGTTAGCCCCTGGTGATACTCATGCAGTCTAAAAACTCGACCTAATTTAGAGTAATTGTCTAGTTTTCTCCCTAATATAATGACAGAAGAATATGTTACATATCTCCCTGATGGACCTAAAAGTTGATTGGAACTCAAAAAAGATCGAAAACTATTTCATGGAGGAGGTAAAAAAGTTACCACAAGGAATGTTATTAGTTTAATGTAAGAGTAAAACCTCGACAATGTGCTGGAGTATAATTCTATATTAAATTGTTTATTTGATATGGTACATAGTGATACAGTATTATTTACTGAATGGGAAATGTGATTATTTGCCAGAAAAGTTAATGTATGACAATTGTTAATAGTTTATTGTTATACCATCCAAACTTTACTGTAACTAGGTTTATTTAACTGCATTTTTATCCTTATATATCGGCTTGCCAATTACATGATTTTAAGCCGCAATACTCACTGCTTTCATGAATTCTATAGGAGACAACATATGTTTTTTCCTAGTTGTTATGACACTTGTAATTTGAAGAGAAGGGTACTGGGTTCGAGCCTCAGTGGGAGCAACATCATTTACTGGGGTGTAGATACATCCAGCTGACGAGTCCCAAACAAAACGAAACGCGCGTCCCGAACTCCCCCACCAGTCACCAAGATCAATGTAACATTATGTACTTTTCTAGTCTACTGTGGACTACCTTAGCAGTGAATAAAATCGTTGGCATTTTACTATCTTCGTTTTCAGTTACCAGTTGTGGGTAGGTAGGACAGAGAACCACTCAGCGTAGCCGACAATCACATTACAGTAGCACAGTGCCTAGTTTATAATACCATTCAGTATGTTTTCAGGAGAAAGAAAACCTGTGTCTTGGAAGTAGAAATGGTGTCTTCTGAATACCTTAATTAACAGCTCAATAATGTTCGAGAAGTACTTCACGTCAACCTAAGTTAGACATCTACCCCAAACGAGTCTGCAACCAATAGTGCGTGTGTTGACTAGAATAACCAAATATTTGCATAAGCTCAGGAAAAGTGATCACTAAAAATGTTCTCAATTAATGAAGAGATCTTTCTCGACATTTTCGCACTACATCAATTGTATTCGTTAGTAGTCGAAACACTGAATCGATCCTTTGAAATAACGACTTCTAAATCAAACGATTCAGTTAATTTAACTATCCAGATCTCTTTACTGATGAGTGTTTTAGCGTATCGATTACACTATAAAAATCAACAAGTGAAGAAAAGACATATCTCCCTCTAACAATAATTATTCCATTGTTATTCAATATATTTCACGTCATAATTTCATATGAACCGTGATATTTTATTGTATAATGGTCGAAACGACTAATGAGAGGAATTTACTGAAGCTAATCAAAAAGGATTAACAACATACTGTGTGAGTCTAACTAGTAAGATTTTAATATGATTACTGCATGCACCATGATACTTTCTTTATAAAGCTTGGTCAACGTTAAATCAGTATATTCAACTGTGAATACTGTAAATAAAGAAGAAAAGCAGAGTAAACATGTAAGATAAATACCTAAAGTGAGTAATGAGTAACATTCTCGACATGTCAGGATTACCTGGTCTACCTGACAGTCAAGTATGAAAGATTCCCCGTTATTTTAAATCAGTTGTATCAAGGTTCCAATCACACACCGAATGCAAATGAGCTCAAAAGCAAATAGAAATGACGTTAGTTAAGCATATATTCAGGTAAGATAATGACTAAAAGAAACCATTTTTGACGGATTACATCTCATTCCTACAGTCTACCTCATATGCCACAACCTTTTGTCTCGAATCATCACTTCCACAATGGGAAGTGGATCCCTACAATATATCCTTTCCCTAAGTTATATTTCTTAGACTGCTTCATTGATCAATTTATGTGAAATGCAGCTAAATCCCGAAACAATGAAGTGTCCAGAAATTTTAGTTGAGCTACCCGCTTTTTATCATTTGTCCCTTGGGTTCCTAGTGGAACATACCGCTTCAGTTGTACGTCTCCATTGCACTCTCTTCTCTGCAGTCTTTTCAACCTGGCTCCACCAATCCCCACAAACTTCCATTTCTACCTCACACCATCTCCTCCATGTTACCCTAGACTTGGACACCTAACTCGTCGTTCCCCTCGCGCGTTCCACTCGAGGGCCTGGCTTGGCCTGGAGCGTGATGTCCTCAAACTGTCTGCTCAGTGTAGACCCAATCCAATCCATTTCCACTTCCTTCTACATATTTGTTGGGTGATGGGTTCTTGGTTGGTTCATTGACAGTCAGAGTTTTTTGCTGTTTATTCCTACTATTCTGGCTATCCGATCTTCAGTATCGAGCGTAGGCAGCTGTTGATGATGTGTGTCTGAAGTTTGTTGGAAATGCTTTCCGTGACGCGCCAAGTTTCTGAATTATATAGAAGCACTGACTTACTTGAATGACATCAGTGTTGAAAATCCGGATCTTGTTCCCGCTTAAAGTGTTTTATTCTTCAGTACTGTTAAAGGTTTTGAAACTATTACTTTAACTCCAAGTGAAGCTTTAACAGCTGGTTTTTCGCTTTTAGCAAGTACACAATACTAATGCTGTCTACATCACTATGCAATCACCATAGATAGTAGCCAAAAATAGTCGTAATTAACATGCATTTCAGTTACCTTATCACTAATTTCGCTAGAGAACGCTACAATCTACTTTTGAACATCCACCGATCTTGATGCGGCCGATAAGTCATCCACCTTCGTTAATATTTGATAGTACCTCACCTTATTTCTTGCATTTTCTTACAGTGTGCAAACAACTGGGATACGGTAGAAAAGTGCACTTACTGCTCTACACTTACAGGTTCAAATAAACTGCCTAACGAATTCCAAGACACCTTATGATTATGGTAGTATGCTATCTTCCAACCAGTTCAAGAGCAAGCGAACAGTAAGCGGTATGGGAACCCCTGGAATGTCATTCGCAACACATGTCTTAGCCACCGAAGCTAGTTTTACAAGGTAACTCCACACAGTAAAAAAACTTCCTCTATCATGTACATGCTCGCACCACCTTATATCAAGACTCCTTGCACGTTTCCACCGAATGCTAGCAGTTCTACGGAGACAAAGCTGGTGGAACAAACAGAGTCGTCGGAAATCCCTAGGTATGACAAGGCAGGTTTCACAAGTATGGAACACAACTATCCAGATTCACACTTTGTATATCCGACCTTCTACATTTCGGCTAACTTCTCAAAGGTGAGGCGGTTCAATATATACTGCTAACTTTTGATACGTGCTTAGAAACTTTATCGGTGACACCTCAACTATCCAGACACACAAAACGATGAAGTCTTTACATTGCCTCATTGGGAAGAATGAGTGTGAGGTACGCTCCAACAAATCTTGTAAAAGTAATTTGCACAATTCTCAGACACGATATATGGTATTTTTCAGAAACATTACTTTCTATAAAGTTCTATTCTCCTCCAAATTCTTGAGGCAATTAGTTTACCATATCACCGTGCAATGGGTCTCTACATGAAAGTAGCTGTCACTATGGTGCCTCCTATAAACTACTATCTTAACTATTCCTTTGCACTGTAGTTATATGAACCTAACGATGCGTAAATGGGGTGCAGTTCCATCAACCAAGTAGCACCCTGACCTAAATATGGAGAATTGATTTGAAAACAAAGTTCTGTATTAAAAATTATACATTTTCTGATTGTAATGAAATTGTAACAGGATCTATTCCCAATTTTCTTAGCACTTCTTCTTCTGTCATTTCTTCTTTGAAAGAAGAAATTAGTTCACGTAATGCATCCCAAGCTGCTTGTTTCCACTTATTTGTGATTTCTTCTAGATTTGCCATATGAGGCTAAAAGAAATTTTTCTTAAATCATTGTCACTTACTTCATCTTCGTAATGACATAATAACTTCAACTTTCTCAGGACATCCTCTTTATCATTGACAGAGACCGTTTTGATCTTTGGATTAACGTACTGTAGAGTAACAAAATGTATAAAGGCAGTTAGTTACCGGCTGTTTGTTTACACTACTCTTCATTTCTCTTTCAAAGTGGCTTGGATATTTTGGGTTCCTAATTAACGAAACATACAAAAACCAACTCTACTGCTTATTCACATTCAACAATAGTAGCGTCAGTTAGTCAGATATGGTTATGATTATTATACGTAACAAACTGTGTGTAACAGATATTGACCAGCAAAATTATGGTTTGAAATTGTATAGAACAAAATACGGTAGAATAAAATAGTTACACACACAAATTTCTAAAAGTAGCCGAGAAGTACACCTTTGTCTGAGAGATAAACAAAACACTTGACAGAAATCTAATTCGTACCATACTGATTGAAACTGGCTAACAAAATCAACATAGAACCTCCCACATGGGTGCTTTGGCTCACGTTGCCACAATTCAAAGCAAATACAGAACAACAAAATACAATGAGAAAAACAGTTCCGAATTTCTACGCATCGTGACTTTGATAGTCATCACAACGACAGTGATATGCTGTAGAAAAATCTCCAGCAAACATGAATAAAGATGCTTGAATCAAATGATTAAACTCTGAGCAAAATACCACTCTCATAATATAGGTTACTAGACAAAACAATCGAAAGCATCTTATACAGTATACAACAATCTTTTAATTTATTTGTGTTGAAAATCTATGAAAAGAAAACCTCAACTCCCAGTTATAAATATGTTTCACCATTAAAATATAACAATTTATTTCACCGACGCAACTTTTACATGTAATTAGTAAATTGGAAGTAGAAAAAATATTTTTATTCACCTTAGACTTGCAGCTAATAAAGATAAGATCAGTATCAAAAGCATTGTGGATTGTCGCCCTCTAAACATGAAGCTTTTCCAATGAGAACCACCAGTTAGTAATTGTAGTTGGACTAAATTTGTACGAATGTAACAAGTACATTACAAAACCTATCTTATGTAGACAGATATATTGATTTAACATCATCCTTAAAATTCCTCACATTTTATTGATGATTATTCGTTTCTTTCGTTTTGTCATATATCTTTTTAGTACAAATGCATTTCTACTTCTTATGATTTCCTTTTTCTATTCTGTTGCAAAGTAAGATAACTCTTGAAACAAAACACTTTTGAACTACATTTCACGCTACTAACATCCACAGATAGTTTCTCAACCTATTTTTAGCAATTCCATTTTTATTGATTTATTAGATTTATGGACTACGGACAATAAATTACATCCGAAACGTAATTCAGTAAACAATACTGTTACACTGCGTGATAAATCTAATAAATCAATAAAAATGGAATTACATTCTACCACAGTGCACAAGTTTTACCCTTATTAGCAATTCCATACACGGGTGAATCACAGGTTAAAGTGACTGAGTAGGATATATCATAAAACAATAAGCCTATATTGTGTTTCAGCATCTCAAAAACCCTGTCTTGGTTTTTCAGTCATACAGAATATTTACCTGTCATATGAGATCAAGTTGTCGAACATGTACTTTAACCTTGGATCGATACAATAGACAGATGTTTTATATCCCAGAAACTAACAATCTGAACTTTAAAAGTACCAGTAATCTCAAAGACTTGTGAAATTAGTCATTTTAAACAGAGCTAATGAACACTGCTAGCCACCAAGTAGACTTCAATGTAGTGAATATCCGGGTAGCCCATTTCCCAATAAAGGGTCGAGCATTTCGACCCAGTACATCACATTTGACTGTTCAAAATTTTTCTAAAATATGCATTCTTTGTTTATCTGGCGAACCCATACGGCATTCATAATTGTATGTGTTTTTAAATCACTACACTTCGTCTCGGCAGCATCTGAGAACCTGACGAAATATTCAGTTCCACAACAACAGGCAAAATCAACGTAGAAACTCGCATACAAGTGCGTCAACTCAAGTTTCCACAATTTACAGTAGCGTGCAAAAACGAGTACACAGAAAAAGACTGGTTTCAAAATGGATGGGAGGAATGGGAATTTAAAAATGGTTAGTGAAAATGTCTAAGCCTCACAAGACGCCAAAGAGGGGATACATTTGCACCACTGCGATCGATTTTCAGCCGTATCACCAACAATCTCCAGTCATTGATTCCCATTATCTCGTGGATTTAAGTCCGTTAGTTTATACGTCCGTACACGGCTTAGACCAACAGTAACAGACTTCATGGAATGATGAAGCGTCTTGATCTGGCTACCCTAAGCCTGCTCGCGACCTACTCCAACTTATGCTAGCATTGCAGGTCGAAGTAAGTGTTGGCTCAGCGTACATAGTATATGTTCAAACCACCGCAGTCGCTAAAAGCTCACAAGCTCATCGATTGACTTCTCTTCTTCACTTATTACTTTGTCCCTGACTTCCACACTAAACGTATGGTGATACATACATAAGCAGTGCTACGAAGAAACCTATGGACGAAAATCCGTAACCTGCTCCTACCTACTTTCAATGGCCATGTCTCAGGAGTGTATAACAGGACAGAACGGGCTACAGTGCAGAACACTAGTTCTTCAACAGGTAGTTACTTATCTCGCTAATTGGGGCTAAAAGTGACGCAAGTTGGCAAATGCTAAATAGTCTTTCTGTATCAGAGGTGAGGTTTCGTCACCAATCAGCCCATTTGGGTTAATATGTAGGTTAGATCATCACCTCTATTGCTTTTCTCTTACCAAGCACGTCTTACGAAACATTCCAGCTTTTCCATCGACAACAAAGTCCAATACTATCCAACATTCACACACATCCATAATGAACAAGATGTAAACGGAAAGTTGACTGCATTTGAGATGACGACATTCTATCTGCACAAGTGGTTTATTAACGGTAACAACATGGACAGTGAACAGAGAGAAAGCTATATATCAAATAAACAACAAGCTGAGCAAATAATTAAAAGGTCAAAATGAGAAAACGAAAACCTCGTGCATTTCTATACAACAGGCAACAAACAGCACCTTTAGGGTGATAGATAACAATACCACCTGAATTCCCAGACTTAGGGAAGTGGGGTGAGTTTTCAACTCATGATCCATGGGTAAGAAGTCCAACGCCCAAGCCAATGAGCCATACCTCTTCTCAATTACGTTTACGTCACTGGCTGAACACTAATATACAGGTTTTATAGTTTACAATGGTAGTGGGTTAATCTACTGAAATAGTGACAGATTTAAGGCCACTCAAAGCCAACAATCAGAGGAACGAAGATGGGAATTGATGGATATGGTATTTACATAGGATTAATCGAAGTTAAATTAAAGGAAAACTGGTTTTTATCTTACTGACTACACAAACACTGAAATAGTCACATTTTACCGGCAAAGAAATGCTTAAGAATAGGAAGATAGTGAAATAAGGAAGCTTAATATGAGACAAACAAATTATTAATGAACTTTAGACCATTAGGTGGAAAAAATGAAATAATTTAAACGTAGACGTTAATTGACATCGATATCCAAAGGAATAGCAGGAGTGGAACAAATTTCCTCTAAATTATCATTATTATTATTATTACTATTATTTGTCCCTTGGGTTCCTAGTGGAACATACCGCTTCAGTTGTACGTCTCCATTGCACTCTCTTCTCTGCAGTCTTTTCAACCTGGCTCCACCAATCCCCACAAACTTCCATTTCTACCTCACACCATCTCCTCCATGTCACCCTAGACTTGGACACCTAACTCGTCGTTCCCCTCGCGCGTTCCACTCGAGGGCCTGGCTTGGCCTGGAGCGTGATGTCCTCAAACTGTCTGCTCAGTGTAGACCCAATCCAATCCATTTCCACTTCCTTCTACATATTTGTTGGGTGATGGGTTCTTGGTTGGTTCATTGACAGTCAGAGTTTTTTGCTGTTTATTCCTACTATTCTGGCTATCCGATCTTCAGTATCGAGCGTAGGCAGCTGTTGATGATGTGTGTCTGAAGTTTGTTGGAAATGCTTTCCGTGACGCGCCAAGTTTCTGAATTATATAGAAGCACTGACTTACTTGAATGACATCAGTGTTGAAAATCCGGATCTTGTTCCCGCTTAAAGTGTTTTATTCTTCAGTACTGTTAAAGGTTTTGAAACTATTACTTTAACTCCAAGTGAAGCTTTAACAGCTGTTTTTTCGCTTTTAGCAAGTACACAATACTAATGCTGTCTACATCACTATGCAATCACCATAGATAGTAGCCAAAAATAGTCGTAATTAACATGCATTTCAGTTACCTTATCACTAATTTCGCTAGAGAACGCTACAATCTACTTTTGAACATCCACCGATCTTGATGCGGCCGATAAGTCATCCACCTTCGTTAATATTTGATAGTACCTCACCTTATTTCTTGCATTTTCTTACAGTGTGCAAACAACTGGGATACGGTAGAAAAGTGCACTTACTGCTCTACACTTACAGGTTCAAATAAACTGCCTAACGAATTCCAAGACACCTTATGATTATGGTAGTATGCTATCTTCCAACCAGTTCAAGAGCAAGCGAACAGTAAGCGGTATGGGAACCCCTGGAATGTCATTCGCAACACATGTCTTAGCCACCGAAGCTAGTTTTACAAGGTAACTCCACACAGTAAAAAAACTTCCTCTATCATGTACATGCTCGCACCACCTTATATCAAGACTCCTTGCACGTTTCCACCGAATGCTAGCAGTTCTACGGAGACAAAGCTGGTGGAACAAACAGAGTCGTCGGAAATCCCTAGGTATGACAAGGCAGGTTTCACAAGTATGGAACACAACTATCCAGATTCACACTTTGTATATCCGACCTTCTACATTTCGGCTAACTTCTCAAAGGTGAGGCGGTTCAATATATACTGCTAACTTTTGATACGTGCTTAGAAACTTTATCGGTGACACCTCAACTATCCAGACACACAAAACGATGAAGTCTTTACATTGCCTCATTGGGAAGAATGAGTGTGAGGTACGCTCCAACAAATCTTGTAAAAGTAATTTGCACAATTCTCAGACACGATATATGGTATTTTTCAGAAACATTACTTTCTATAAAGTTCTATTCTCCTCCAAATTCTTGAGGCAATTAGTTTACCATATCACCGTGCAATGGGTCTCTACATGAAAGTAGCTGTCACTATGGTGCCTCCTATAAACTACTATCTTAACTATTCCTTTGCACTGTAGTTATATGAACCTAACGATGCGTAAATGGGGTGCAGTTCCATCAACCAAGTAGCACCCTGACCTAAATATGGAGAATTGATTTGAAAACAAAGTTCTGTATTAAAAATTATACATTTTCTGATTGTAATGAAATTGTAACAGGATCTATTCCCAATTTTCTTAGCACTTCTTCTTCTGTCATTTCTTCTTTGAAAGAAGAAATTAGTTCACGTAATGCATCCCAAGCTGCTTGTTTCCACTTATTTGTGATTTCTTCTAGATTTGCCATATGAGGCTAAAAGAAATTTTTCTTAAATCATTGTCACTTACTTCATCTTCGTAATGACATAATAACTTCAACTTTCTCAGGACATCCTCTTTATCATTGACAGAGACCGTTTTGATCTTTGGATTAACGTACTGTAGAGTAACAAAATGTATAAAGGCAGTTAGTTACCGGCTGTTTGTTTACACTACTCTTCATTTCTCTTTCAAAGTGGCTTGGATATTTTGGGTTCCTAATTAACGAAACATACAAAAACCAACTCTACTGCTTATTCACATTCAACAATAGTAGCGTCAGTTAGTCAGATATGGTTATGATTATTATACGTAACAAACTGTGTGTAACAGATATTGACCAGCAAAATTATGGTTTGAAATTGTATAGAACAAAATACGGTAGAATAAAATAGTTACACACACAAATTTCTAAAAGTAGCCGAGAAGTACACCTTTGTCTGAGAGATAAACAAAACACTTGACAGAAATCTAATTCGTACCATACTGATTGAAACTGGCTAACAAAATCAACATAGAACCTCCCACATGGGTGCTTTGGCTCACGTTGCCACAATTCAAAGCAAATACAGAACAACAAAATACAATGAGAAAAACAGTTCCGAATTTCTACGCATCGTGACTTTGATAGTCATCACAACGACAGTGATATGCTGTAGAAAAATCTCCAGCAAACATGAATAAAGATGCTTGAATCAAATGATTAAACTCTGAGCAAAATACCACTCTCATAATATAGGTTACTAGACAAAACAATCGAAAGCATCTTATACAGTATACAACAATCTTTTAATTTATTTGTGTTGAAAATCTATGAAAAGAAAACCTCAACTCCCAGTTATAAATATGTTTCACCATTAAAATATAACAATTTATTTCACCGACGCAACTTTTACATGTAATTAGTAAATTGGAAGTAGAAAAAATATTTTTATTCACCTTAGACTTGCAGCTAATAAAGATAAGATCAGTATCAAAAGCATTGTGGATTGTCGCCCTCTAAACATGAAGCTTTTCCAATGAGAACCACCAGTTAGTAATTGTAGTTGGACTAAATTTGTACGAATGTAACAAGTACATTACAAAACCTATCTTATGTAGACAGATATATTGATTTAACATCATCCTTAAAATTCCTCACATTTTATTGATGATTATTCGTTTCTTTCGTTTTGTCATATATCTTTTTAGTACAAATGCATTTCTACTTCTTATGATTTCCTTTTTCTATTCTGTTGCAAAGTAAGATAACTCTTGAAACAAAACACTTTTGAACTACATTTCACGCTACTAACATCCACAGATAGTTTCTCAACCTATTTTTAGCAATTCCATTTTTATTGATTTATTAGATTTATGGACTACGGACAATAAATTACATCCGAAACGTAATTCAGTAAACAATACTGTTACACTGCGTGATAAATCTAATAAATCAATAAAAATGGAATTACATTCTACCACAGTGCACAAGTTTTACCCTTATTAGCAATTCCATACACGGGTGAATCACAGGTTAAAGTGACTGAGTAGGATATATCATAAAACAATAAGCCTATATTGTGTTTCAGCATCTCAAAAACCCTGTCTTGGTTTTTCAGTCATACAGAATATTTACCTCAGTCATATGAGATCAAGTTGTCGAACATGTACTTTAACCTTGGATCGATACAATAGACAGATGTTTTATATCCCAGAAACTAACAATCTGAACTTTAAAAGTACCAGTAATCTCAAAGACTTGTGAAATTAGTCATTTTAAACAGAGCTAATGAACACTGCTAGCCACCAAGTAGACTTCAATGTAGTGAATATCCGGGTAGCCCATTTCCCAATAAAGGGTCGAGCATTTCGACCCAGTACATCACATTTGACTGTTCAAAATTTTTCTAAAATATGCATTCTTTGTTTATCTGGCGAACCCATACGGCATTTATAATTGTATGTGTTTTTAAATCACTACACTTCGTCTCGGCAGCATCTGAGAACCTGACGAAATATTCAGTTCCACAACAACAGGCAAAATCAACGTAGAAACTCGCATACAAGTGCGTCAACTCAAGTTTCCACAATTTACAGTAGCGTGCAAAAACGAGTACACAGAAAAAGACTGGTTTCAAAATGGATGGGAGGAATGGGAATTTAAAAATGGTTAGTGAAAATGTCTAAGCCTCACAAGACGCCAAAGAGGGGATACATTTGCACCACTGCGATCGATTTTCAGCCGTATCACCAACAATCTCCAGTCATTGATTCCCATTATCTCGTGGATTTAAGTCCGTTAGTTTATACGTCCGTACACGGCTTAGACCAACAGTAACAGACTTCATGGAATGATGAAGCGTCTTGATCTGGCTACCCTAAGCCTGCTCGCGACCTACTCCAACTTATGCTAGCATTGCAGGTCGAAGTAAGTGTTGGCTCAGCGTACATAGTATATGTTCAAACCACCGCAGTCGCTAAAAGCTCACAAGCTCATCGATTGACTTCTCTTCTTCACTTATTACTTTGTCCCTGACTTCCACACTAAACGTATGGTGATACATACATAAGCAGTGCTACGAAGAAACCTATGGACGAAAATCCGTAACCTGCTCCTACCTACTTTCAATGGCCATGTCTCAGGAGTGTATAACAGGACAGAACGGGCTACAGTGCAGAACACTAGTTCTTCAACAGGTAGTTACTTATCTCGCTAATTGGGGCTAAAAGTGACGCAAGTTGGCAAATGCTAAATAGTCTTTCTGTATCAGAGGTGAGGTTTCGTCACCAATCAGCCCATTTGGGTTAATATGTAGGTTAGATCATCACCTCTATTGCTTTTCTCTTACCAAGCACGTCTTACGAAACATTCCAGCTTTTCCATCGACAACAAAGTCCAATACTATCCAACATTCACACACATCCATAATGAACAAGATGTAAACGGAAAGTTGACTGCATTTGAGATGACGACATTCTATCTGCACAAGTGGTTTATTAACGGTAACAACATGGACAGTGAACAGAGAGAAAGCTATATATCAAATAAACAACAAGCTGAGCAAATAATTAAAAGGTCAAAATGAGAAAACGAAAACCTCGTGCATTTCTATACAACAGGCAACAAACAGCACCTTTAGGGTGATAGATAACAATACCACCTGAATTCCCAGACTTAGGGAAGTGGGGTGAGTTTTCAACTCATGATCCATGGGTAAGAAGTCCAACGCCCAAGCCAATGAGCCATACCTCTTCTCAATTACGTTTACGTCACTGGCTGAACACTAATATACAGGTTTTATAGTTTACAATGGTAGTGGGTTAATCTACTGAAATAGTGACAGATTTAAGGCCACTCAAAGCCAACAATCAGAGGAACGAAGATGGGAATTGATGGATATGGTATTTACATAGGATTAATCGAAGTTAAATTAAAGGAAAACTGGTTTTTATCTTACTGACTACACAAACACTGAAATAGTCACATTTTACCGGCAAAGAAATGCTTAAGAATAGGAAGATAGTGAAATAAGGAAGCTTAATATGAGACAAACAAATTATTAATGAACTTTAGACCATTAGGTGGAAAAAATGAAATAATTTAAACGTAGACGTTAATTGACATCGATATCCAAAGGAATAGCAGGAGTGGAACAAATTTCCTCTAAATTATCATTATTATTATTATTACTATTATTTGTCCCTTGGGTTCCTAGTGGAACATACCGCTTCAGTTGTACGTCTCCATTGCACTCTCTTCTCTGCAGTCTTTTCAACCTGGCTCCACCAATCCCCACAAACTTCCATTTCTACCTCACACCATCTCCATGTCACCCTAGACTTGGACACCTAACTCGTCGTTCCCCTCGCGCGTTCCACTCGAGGGCCTGGCTTGGCCTGGAGCGTGATGTCCTCAAACTGTCTGCTCAGTGTAGACCCAATCCAATCCATTTCCACTTCCTTCTACATATTTGTTGGGTGATGGGTTCTTGGTTGGTTCATTGACAGTCAGAGTTTTTTGCTGTTTATTCCTACTATTCTGGCCATCCGATCTTCAGTATCGAGCGTAGGCAGCTGTTGATGATGTGTGTCTGAAGTTTGTTGGAAACACTTTTCGTTGGGTGATCCTCCGTCTTGTCTACATTCACCTGAAGGATGTCCCGCTTCTGGTTTTCGCCTGTAGATCTTTGAGTTTGTGCCACAAGACATTGGACATAATTCATCACCAGCGAAACGCAAATCTTGTAGAGCCTTTTGATAGGTCAAACAGCGTATACTCATTTTCTCGCTCACAGTTTTCTATTGCTGACTACAATCACGAAGATGATCGGTTATAGTAGGCAACCTTGTCTTACTCCTGTCTTCACTTCAAAGGCGTCACCGAGCTTTCCATTCTGAACTATTTGGCATGCAGCATCTTCATATAGCATATAGCTGTTGAATGAGGTTGGTGAAAGTTTGTGGCACTAAAACCAGTGTTGAAGCAGTTTCCAAATTACCAACTTCATTTAGGAGCGAAAGCGGGTAAAAAAAATAACAAGACTTTAAATAGTTTTGACACGTCCTTAGCTACAGACCGAGGCCTGAACAAGGACTTTAAAACGTATTAAATGACATAGATTGATAACACAAAGTCTCATAACAATACAAAATAACACGACCTGGGCGCTCAATAGCCTGATTCCTAAATCAGGCTGGTCAGTCGATAAAATCTTTAGGTGACTTGATTACTTTTGAAAATGTTTCAGGCACGTTCTGAATTTCAAAACTAGGAATGAAAACAACTGTTTTAATCTTCCAACTCTCCTGCTCGCAAAGAAGTTATAATACCATTCCGAGTTACTAATTCTGAAATTTTCCATCGGCTGTCGGAAACCGACCCAATCTAGACTGTGATTTTGGAGTCTTTTTACATTTCTTTTCAAAAATTTGAGCACACGACAGACAGTTTGGTAATTTCTGAGTATAAGAAATTTTTGGCGTACTTCGAAACCTCAAGAAACTTCTGAAAGAGCTATTGGGTTTCTTATGAGCTTACATGCATCCGCTTAACTGCACCCAAAACTGTTTGCAGAATTTTACTCAAAAAATATAGTGTTCGGTAGCTGACTGAGACGACCCCGGTTAATCGTTCGAATGCTACATTACTTTCTGCTTCTCATACAGTATCGATATGGCCCTTCTCTAAATACTGTGATTTAAGGCTTATTCAGTAACACGAAGCATGTTTGTTAGAAAAGAAACGAAACATGCGCGAAAACTGTTTCAACGCAAACCTACCGCAGTATTTTGTTCTGACCGCTTTGGGAGAACGTAGTTTCTGAAATTGTAATTGCCATTGATAGAACAGTAGACGCTTTCACCTAGCTGACTTTCATATATGTAAGTAGTGGGTCATTAGTTTCAATGTTTAAGGTTCTAGGTGTACAAACAAAGCATGAATGATACATTGTACGCTATTAGTGAACCTGTGACCTTCAGCAATCAATTTGTTTTGAGGGCATATTTATGCCAAACGATTTCTTCTTGCCTACCCCTGATTTTAGCGGGAAAGTCTCAGGTTTTCGGTCCATTCTGATGCAATACATTCAGCCAGTTACCTGAGACAGCCCCGGTAAACCCACCAGGTGACTTGGTGTTGATTAAATTTGTAGGGTGGTATGTGACGTGTCCTAGCGCTGTAGTTCCGGCATGATCGTCATCTGTCATATCCTCAGGTGGTTGTTCGAACTGGTAGCTGAAAGATAACTAGGAGGTTTCAGAGGATAAACACATGAAGCATGTGAAGAAGACAAAGCGTCAGAAAAACAGGAGAAACAACAACATAATTGCAGGAGGGATGACAAAGGACAGTGAAAGGAGGAATTCAAATGGATGTGGTTAAAACGAATGGGGGAAGGGGAGAAAAAAGCAGAGAAAATCGCAGCGGGAATCAGCTAAATAAAGACCGGGCCGTAAATTTAGAAGTAAGACGTTTGCTCCAGGGATGGGGAAAGTGGGTTGCTACCGAGGGGTGTGGGGTTGGTTCACGTCTTTCAAAATACTGATGACGAGGAAGTTTAGGTGCGAAGCTGACAGACAGCTTTGGGCTTACTTTTTATCACTAGCTGTCTCGGCATCATCCACAGTCGAGATGGGCCGGTCCAACCCATTTAACCGGGTCGCCGTTCAAAGTTTTCTTGAAGTTTTGACAGGCTGGCTGCATACTCTTAGCTCCCTAATCTAGAAAGTTAGGCTGAAACTTCTTTTGGAAATCAGCGAGATATGAGAGGACCAGCAGAGGTCCGAAGAGAAATACACACCGAGATAAATCACACTCGTGACATTCCCTAATGCTCAACCATCAATAGAACAAGAACCATGCTAACCAAACGGCTTACATGGGTTATGTTCGCATCTAAAACTAAAGTTGATGGTCTGACATCTTGAAGAATTAAGCCTAAGACCATTCTCGAACGACCATCGTCCAACAATAGATAGGTAATCCTTCGGTTGGGAACCATCTGCTGAAGAGGAGACAGGCACAGAAACGGTTGGGTCATCAGCATTTTTAGTTAAGTCGATACTAGTTGAAGGTGGTAAGTCATGCAGAGAGCAAGAGAAAAGGCACGGGGAAGGATGGCTTCTTAAGGGAACTACTGTCGCAGTACGCAATGAGGTGGAGCACTTCCCTCTGCAAACAGTATGTTGCTTCTTATCAGAGAAATCGGAGTGTAGCCAGCTGATTATACAGGACTCACTATTTGTCCCGGTTGGCTTGTCCAGCAAGAGAGGTCTTGGGACGGAACTAAATGCCGAGGTACAGTCTAAAAAGGTTTACCTGAAGTACTTGGCATCTTTATCAAGACTATAAGTAATATCATGACATGGGGGTGGTAGCGTCCAAAGTGCTTCTTTCGCCTCCATATGCGAATTGATTAGGGTCTCCGAAAGCCGTCAGTGAGGGTCAGGGTACAGGTTTAATTAGCTTCTCCACTATTTTTAGGAACAGAGAGGTAACTGCAATCGGACGGTATTCTGTACATGCACCTGAAGTCCCAGGCTTAGATATGGGGACCATCTCGATATCTTCCGAGGCAGCTAGTGTGGTGTTTTCTGAAAACGACCTATTGAACACTTTGTGAACACGACGCCCGACATACTATATGGGGCCGAACTATGTGAAGGGTTCGGGGATTTGAAACATCTGAAAATATCTCTCTCGGTGAACTCCAGACAGCATACTGCATTGGAAATGTGTGGAGAAAGTGGGATAGGACAGGTGGGTTAAAGCATAAACCATCTGCTCAAAGCACAGACGTCCATATATGCTTCTTTACCAGGGTGTTCACTGCCAATGAATTCTTTAAAAAGTTTCCACATGCTGAAAGAAACTTTACGTGACAAAATTCTCTGGTTATACAGTAGGCTAAAACGTCTAATTTCCAACCTACTTAAAAAGTTCGGTCGACGAATACCAGCATTACCACTTACTTTACACAGTTTTAGCGCATATTATCGACAAGGAACCACAGAATATGGGGGCGGCGAATTCCATGAATACATCAGTGAAACTGGATAGTTCAGATTAACTGCAACCAGGCTTCACATAAATATTTGTGACGTAAATAAGGCGATATTTATTCAAATGTTTTGCGCGGCATTTAGCACTGATGCAACCTACGTAGTCATTTGAGAGCTGGAAGCACATATGGCTAGAAATGAACCATTTGGTATTGACGAAGATAGCTTCTCCACCTCCACCTTTCCTGGTAGAGCTGCATCGATCCCGATAGAAAACTCTGAAACCATTCAGGTGAATCAAATCGCTGTCATAAAGTTCACGTAACCAAGCTTCTTGCAGCGTAAGTACTCCCGTATTGTGGTACACGTCTGAGGATATAAGAGATTGTAAGTAACCTGCTTTTCTCTTCAGTGACCTGCATTTCGCGCCAACAATTTCGAGCAGAGTCATTTGAGATAAGGTTATTCGCCTCAAAGCGCGTTTCCATCCGCCATGATGCCTTTTCTTCATCTTATGTGGTGACAGCATAGCAGAAGTCCGTAAATCTTTTGAAAATGTGCGTGGATATGTTATGTGATCAGAGGACATAATATAATGATTAAAACAAACACGTGTAAAAGCATTTGACGCACGATATCAGACGGAAACTCAAGCAGCCTAGATATTTGAGAGGGCTGTTGAGCATCTACCCACGGTATACGATACTATAAATTACTAGCTGAAACTGAACTCTGTATCACCAGCCTACGAAGTGGTTCCCTCTCGGATAAATTTCCGCGCGTTTAGAATACACTTCCTGGAGAAATATGCACCGCAAGTTCACGACCCTTCTTTCGCTCCCCACTCAGCGTTTGCTCATAAACGACGAGTCCGTCGCTCGCTTAGCCACCAGCCGTACATCCTGGGCTAACGACTGTATACTAGGACTTCCGAACACATGAAACAAGGCTCCCGTGGTCTGAATGTTACCTCTGCTCCAAGGCATTTACGAATGTTTACGTAAGCTATCTGAGTACCACCACGACTACTCATGGCGAGTGGTTGGGAAAGCAAAATGCTGCAAGCGCAAACTCGAGCAGTATCTTGACTTTACCACAAATGTACCGTATACCCAAAAAAGTATGTAAACATTGCTAGAGAGTAATGGAGAAATGATTGTTGTGCCCATGAAACAAGGCGCACGTATAGGTCCGGTAGGCCTAAGGGGATAAAAACTTCTTTCTTCGTCAAGCTGCCCTGTCCGGTATGATCCTTTCTCGATACCATTTGTGCTGCTCTTCTTCCTCCTTTCAAGGACCACTTGCCTAGAAAATCCTAAGTTACGTTTCTACAGATGAGTGATGACTCACTAAAACTACGTGATCCTTGATGTCAGGGATTGTTGAAAGAGGCCTTAGAAGCGGACCGCTGCGGACGTTCCGCTACTTCTGAAATGGTTTTGTGCTTAACTGAACTGTTTTGTCAGTCCCCTTGAAACTTCTAAGTGTGAGGCTGTTTCCTCAATGAATGGCCTAATCAACTGTCTTTTCATGGATAATGTCGTATAGTTCAATGCCAAACGCCCCTGAGGTCAATTTGTCGTCTATTACCATCCGGACAGTAACTCCTTTAGTGTGTATTTCTATGCAACACAATGACTGATCAGCTTTCCGGAAATATTACGTGGTGGGTGGTACCAGAAATTATGGAAAGAAGCAGGAAAGTAGAAAAATGCTTACAACTGGTCTGCCCCTTGGGTCTCCTCACTTTCTGGACAGCTTCGAGATAAACCCACCTGCTAGCTAATTACCTACAGAAAATCTCATATAAAACCCAGTCTGAAGCAGATAAACTCCATTTCCCAGACGGTTACGACTGTGGCTCACATCCAAACAAACAAATGAGTCTAAGGGACCGATGTATCAATAGACTCCAAAAGCAACTTATATGCAACAATGCCGCGCAAAAGATTTCCCAAAGCTTCTTTGGATAGGAATTCATCGGTCGGGAGACAATAAACAGCGAATATACTCCCTTTGTAATGCCACCTATTTCGTCATGAAACATGCCTCAATCTTATGCAGAAGCCATCGCCGTTCTGATAACCATTCATCGAACACGTTCCTCCGCACCACAGCCGTTTCTAACAAAATACATGTATAATGCTGCAAAATGAGACACCTGGAAGACGTGTAGTGTTCGAATAGATGTATACACCTGAATTGTATGATTATGTGGACACCCAATGGTTCTCCAAATCGTAGAAGTGAGTTCTCATTGATGAGTGAAGCCGTTAATAAAAGAATTCACGTTAAAATAAACCTTAATCTGGAGAAATATGGGACCACACAGACGGGTCAAACACGTCTGCTGTTCGTAACGAAAACACCGAGTACTACGCGTTCTTGATGGGTTATGGGTGGTAAGAAGATAAAGAAGAATAATACGATTCACAAATGTCACCTATTTGCTGAAAAATAATGTTCTTGCTCTTTTCCTATTTTGCGGACACTTTTGGTGCTATTACTTAACTCACTGGCCTGCATTTTCACCTCCATGGACCACCAAAACGTTGTCTTCTTCTTAACGGTTACCAGCTGAATGAAACCCGTAAACTGGTTCCTCTTATGCCAACTTTATGACATGAGAGTCAAAAGACTTATTTATTTTTACCTTATTTCAGGAGGCAACCCTGGGGACTAGACTAGGTTTTACCACCGGTCAAACGCTGGGCGCTTTGACCAAAATAACAGTAAGACTTTCTGTTGAATCGTGGATCTGAAAGCTTCGATTGACACTTATCCACAACAAAGCTACCCTAGCCTTTTCGTCGACAGATCGCACCAAGCTTTCAAA